AGACTGGAGTCGACCTGAACGAGGATGAAGCAAAGCTGTAGGGAAGTTCATCTGCCGACAGGGAATGACTCAAAATGAGGTGCAGCAGCGGCAAATGTTCATTAGTCAAAGGAATGCAGAACGTACAATACACGAATCTAGGAAGATGGGAAGCTATGAAAAATGAAATGGGGAAAAAATAAATTAAAATAATAAAACGGAATGCATAAAAATCAATACTGAGGTGAAATGAACAGGTAATGGTCATTTTGAATCAAATAATCCTACCGTCCGTTATGCTGGAAATGACAAATTCAAAACGAGTGGGGTCACATTCATTGTCAAAAAAGAGTATTTCAAGATCTATCTTGAACCACAACCCTGTAAGTACTGATAGGATACACCTAGAAGACAGACTTGTTTTTTACTAAAATTTACATACCAACCACGAATTCCAAAGCTGAAGAAAGTGAATGTTTTTACAAACCTCTGCAGCCTAAAATCAATTAAACATGCAGTCAAGATGGATTGGTCATGACTGGTGATTGGAATGTGAAACCTGGAAACCAAGAGGAAGGAAAATGAGCCAGTGTCGGTGACGGAGATAAGCCAGAGATCTCAGGCATTTCCAAAGACCAACAACTTCTGCAAGTACCTATCTTCCGCAACACGAATAGTGACTGCACATGAGCCTTGTCTAATGGAATACCTGAGTCAAACGAAGTGCACCTAAGGAGAGAAATGATGAAGAAGACCCTCAATTGTACCAGTCAGAACCAGGTCAGGGGCCAATTGCAAAACGCACCATCCACTGAACCTATGCAAGCGCAAGCTCAAGCTCAACAAAACCGAAACAAGTCCCTGAAAGCCAAAATGTAACCTCTAGTAGATTCCACCTGCACTTGGCGAGCATTTCAAAAGTAGATCTGACACACTGAACAGTAATGGCCACACAAATTACGGGATGCATCAAGAACATCATACAAGAAGAAAGTGACAGGCCATTAAAGACAGGAAAGAACAAGCCAACGTGGATGTAAGAAGAGATTCTTGATGTAGATTAGCTACAGTGAAAGGAAGAAATGATGAAGCAGAGGAGATAACCAGAGGATTTCAAAAGGCAGATCAAGACAAAGTATTAAGAATGATGGCAACATATGTACAAATATGCTTGATACAATTGATGTATGGATTGTTATGAGTTAAGAGCCCCCAATAAAATGATCTTTTAATTAAAAAAAATTTAAAGACAAAGTATTATAATGAAATGTGCAAAGATCTATGTTGAGAAGAACTAACATCAACTTGATGGCAGTGAGTTTGGTTTGGGAACAAAAAGAATTGGCTGACATTCCATCATTTTAGGAGGTAGCAAACTATCAAGAAGCGATCCAAGTTGCAGTGACCAAACCAAACTCGATGCTATTAATGCCGCAGCAGCAACCCTCTAGGACAGGGTAGAACTGCCCTGATGGGTTTCAGAGCGTCTAACTCTGTACGAGAGTAGACAGCCCCTTCCTTCTCCCATGGAGAAGCTGCTGGTTTCAAACACAAAAATCATCACAACTGGGTAATAAAATAAAATCACGATGAAGACATCGCTTCTTGGCCTTGTGGCTAAGATCAGGTGTAGTAAAATCACAATGAAGAGATTATCAAGGATTTCATTTAACTTAGATCCACAATACAAGCAATCAAGATTATAAATATATATTTATATTTATATATCGCACTGGGCAAATCTGCTGCCTGAGACCTTTAAAAGCAAGGATGTTACTTGAGGACTAAGGTACACCTGACTCAAGTCATGGCATTTTCAATTACCTCATATGCATGGGAAGGCTGGACAATGAATAAAGAAAGCCCAAGAAGAACGGATGCATTTGAATTGTGGTGTTGGCAAAGAATATTAAATACACCACAAAATCCCAGAAAAATGAATAAATTTGTCTAGGAAAAGGTACAGAAAGAATGCTCTTTAGAAGTGAGGATGGCAAGACTGTCTCATATACTTTGGACATGTTATCAAGAAAGACCAGTCCCTGGCGAAGGACATCATACCTAGTAAAGAGTTAAAGAGACAAAGAAGAAGGCCTTCAATGAGATAACTGACACAGTGGCTGCAAAAACTGGGCTCAACCCTAGCAAGAATGAAGGGTATGGTCCAGTCCTGGCCGTGTTTCATGCTGCTGTGCTGAGGGTTGCTGTGACTCAGAATGGATTCTAAGGCACCTAACAAATACACCTTCTAGCCACCTGGCAGTCTAATCACCTGCTTTGGCTACTAGTTTTCCCTTTTCTCCACTCAAAATGATGTATTTAAGGAAGGAGTCCTGGTGACATAGCGGTTACACCTTGGGCTGCTAACCACAAAGTCAGCAGTTCAAAACCACCAGCCATTCCGAGGGAGAAGGAAGAGGTTTCCTATTTCTGTAACCAGAAACTCACAGGGGGAGTCCTACCCTGTCCTATAGAATCACTGTGAGTCAGAATTAACTCAATGGCAGTGGAGATTTTTGAGTTTAATGATAGCTTATCACAACTTCAGGAGATGTTCTGAAATTGGTGCTCATGTATTTTTTTAAATTTTGGGGGTAAAATTCTGTTCAATTTCCATGGCTTTATGTTTAAAATGTAAAATTCATCCTCATATATAATAATTGGCTAACTTTAGTTCTTCTTCCTTAAAAACAACTCACAACAGTCCAATAGCGATGTCACCAAGAGAAAGGATTTGAAGACACTACCTTCAAAGGCAGCAAATAGAAGGTGTGTTAGTTAGGTTTTATGTCAATTTGGTTACATCTGTGGAAAGGCATGGGTGGAGTCTAACCTCTCAATTAGGACACAACCTAATGATGTCTCCTTGAGGATGTGGTCTATTACAAGAGACTCTGTGGAGAACTGGTCTCTCTCTTGCCCCTTTCCTTCCTGCTTGACTGGATCCTGTGTTTGGCTTCTGCGGCTAGCAGTCCATGTGGCCCAAAGATCCCGGGAGCTGTCCTCATCGTACCACGCTCCCGCTGACCTGGAATCCACGCCACTCTACATCCACTGGCCTATGATCTCCAGGTTCCCACTTCACCTTCAGCTACACGAGTCTGCCTCGTGAGTTGGACTGCACTGAGCCACTTCCTTCATGTAAATGTCTTTCTTATACATAGACGACTGTCACTGGTTCAGTTTCTCTGGAAAATCCAGCCTAACAGAGGAGATGCATTTTAGTATCTTCCCACTTTCATCGCTATCAGGCTGAACCAGATTTTCGGTCTCTAACATATGCTAATAAGCAATTGCTCTAAAGCGAGAATATTGGCAAAAAATTGATGCTTCCTTCATTCTCAGTTGAAAGTCAGATCGAAACATTTTGTGTAGCAACGTGGTTTTCCACTGCATCGGCATCCTTACTGAGCCCCCATGGCTCAGGGATGTAAAATGCACGGTTTCTGAAAGTTTGGGGCTATTTTAGAGGTTGTCTTAATCCAAGATTAAGAGATGACTTTGAATTAATGGGCACCACTGCCTTTGAGGAGTAGATTCCAACTCGAAGATCCCATACAGGCTTTCAAAGGCTTTAAGTCTTTATGGGAGCTGACAGCCTCATCTTTCTCCTGAAGAGCGGCTGGTGGGTATGAACCACTAACCACTAACCTTGGTTAACATTTTAAAGCTTACGCAGCAGAGCATCATTAAATAACATGAAAATGGGTTTATTTCTTTTTTCTTAGAATCTAGACTAAGGTTCAAAATTAAAATGTAAGAAACATTTTCCCTAAACATTAAGGAAGCCTGACTCTGGTTGTTAATATGTACACCTAGGGTTTTCTCTTAAATCCCAAATGGAAAGCTCTGTACCTATAAAATAGCAGGAAAAACAACCTGCAGAGCCTCAATTGGGCTAAAATGATGCCTAGTTTCTATGGGCCAAGGCCTCACCTCACAGGTTCTCTGAGCACAGAGCCCACATGTATCCAACAGTTTCCCTATTGTCATGCTCTTTGGTAACTTCTGAACCTTGTACACATCAATCCCTTCCCTGAAATCCTCTCCCTGGTCCTGGGAAAACTTCTACCCATTCGTCAAGATTCCCTCTATAGACGTACTAGACTGAGCGATCCTTGAGGTAGGGCAGCAGGAAGGTCTTATAACAGTATGGTTAATCATACTGACCTGGTTCAAAGCCTAGCTTTGTCACATACTAGCTTTGACAAGAGTATCCCTGGTGGCACAGTGAGTTCCTCATCGGGTTACTCACTGCAGTCAGCAGTTTGAAACCACCAGTTGTCCTGTGGGAGAAAGATGTGGCTTTCTGCTCCCATAAAAAGTTGCAGTCGCACAAACCCAGAGGGACAGTTCTATTCTGTCCAATAAGGTCACTATGAGTTGGAACTGACTTGATGGCAGTGAGAGCGTTAACAAATACCTTAACTAATATCTCAAGGTTTCGGTCTCCTCTGAATACTGGGATCAAATAGTACCCACCATCTTTGAATAGTGATAAGAATTAAATGAAATAATCCAAGGAAAAAATCAGTCATTATTAGTAAAGCTAGAGAAAACTCCAAATGTAGCAAAACAGACTCAGTCTCTAAACAAGCGGCATCACGCTCAGAAGCAACAAAGCCCACATGGAAGAAGCACACCAGCCTATGCAACCACAAGGTGTCGAAGGGATCAGGTATAAGGCATCATCAGAACAAAAAATCTTACCATAGTGAATGATGGGGGGAGTGCGGAGTGGAGACCCAAAGCACATTAGTAGGCCACTGGAGACCCCCTTGCAGAGGGGTCTCGGGGAGGAGATGAGCCAGTCAGGGTGCGATGTAACAATGATGAGAAATACAACTTTCCTCTAGTTCCTAAATGCTTCCCGCCCCAACTATCATGATCCGAATTCTACCTTGCAAGCCTGGCTAGACCAGAGGAGGTACACTGGTATAGATAGGAATTGGAAATCCAGGGAATCCAGGGTGGATGATCCCTTCAGGACCAGTGGTGTGAGTGGTGATACTGGGAGGGTAGAGGGAGAGTGGGTTGGAAAGAGGGAACCGATTACAAGGAACTATATGTGACCTCCTCTCTGGGGGACGGACAACAGAAAAGTGGGTGAAGGGAGACGTCGGACAGGGAAAGATATGACAAAATAACAATTTATAAATTATCAAGGGATCATGAGGGAGTAGGGAGCGGGGAGGGAGGGAAAAATGAGGACCTAATGCTGGGGGCTTAAGTGGAGAGGCAATGTTTTGAGAATGATGAGGGCAGTAAATGTAGAGATGCGCTTTACACAATTGATGTATGTATAGATTGTGATAAGAGTTGTATGAGCCCCTAATAAAATTATTTTTAAAAAAAAGAAAGAAAGAAAGAAAATGATTGACAAGGTGGCTGCAACAATGGACTCAAACATTAAAAAAAAAAAAAGACTCAGTCTCTGGAAGACTGTCAATTACTCCTAACCTGTGTGGTTAGAGAAGCCAAGTCCCACCAGTATGAGTGAAGGGGTTAGGGGGAAGTGAGGCTGTTTAGTCAGCAAAGTCACAGTACTCACAATCACACAGTTCTTTCCAACGTGCACATAGGAGCCAATCTGGGCTGCGTTGACCACACAGTCTTCCTCAATAAAGACATGGTCCCCGATATGTAAAGGAAAGAACGCAACACTAGAGAGGAAAGAAGCAAACAGAGGTCAAGGTAATATGCTTACGGTCAAGGTTTCTAGATGTTCCATTCATACTCTCCATTTTACCATCTCGTCTTAATAAGACTGCTTCTAGCAAAGGAAAAAAACCCCAAGGACTAGAGAAATTTTAACACTGGAGAAAGTGAATGAGATTACAATATCGGAATCATTATTAGAACCAACAAAGGGGCAACACCTTCCAAGCTGATTAGTAGGCTGTAAACTAAAAACTTATGAATGATTGCTCACTCTTGCTGCCCTTGAAAATATTCACTGATCATACTTTTAGAACTCTGCTCTATGCGGTCTCAGAGGACCTGTATCAGGTTCATGGGCTACAATTGCCACACCAACAGCTTGAAAATTATTTCTTCACCAATTTTGAGTGAGTACTACATAACGGACTCTAACTAGGAATACAATGGTGAGCAAAAGACACAAAATTCCTGCCCTTTTAGTGACGAAAAGAAAGATTTTTAAAAATTATATAAGTAATTAGTTACAATGGGAATAAAAGTGGTAGAGAAGAAATATCAGGATTTGAGAATCTACCACAGGGAGGATTTACACAGATGGGAGGTTTGGGAAACGCTTCATTGTGACACTTAAGGCAAGACTTGAGGAACAGGACATAGTAGGTTACCTCCAGACTTCTGATACTGGGCCGTGCAGTGCAATAAATGACAACATCCGCTTTATAGCTATAGTTCATAACTCCCAACCAGAGACTGGGAGACCAGATTCTTCAGATCAGACACACGCTTGCCTCCTCAGAATACTGTTCTACAGAGACCAACTCAATGGCAATGGCTTATGAGTTATGAATATTTTGTCCATTTTATAGATATGGATCTATAATGTATTTAAATCTTTCTTAATCCATTAGTAGTCTGTAAACTTCATGCAGTTATGAATTCCTTAATCTCTCCAATGTCTGTAACAGTACTGGTAATCCCTTAATTTTACATCAAAATTTCCACACTTTATAGTATATTCCAGTTCTAGTACTAAGCTATTGCGGTGAAGTGAAATTCCTTCCAAGTAAAGGGGGGGCGGGGACACGCAAGTAAGGTAAAGGGGACGCTAACTCTAGGTTTGATCTGTTTTGTCATTCCTCAGGGCATAAAGTGAGCCCTCTCAGGAGCAGGAAGAGAACTAACTGCTCATCCACCAAGAGTGAAGTGTGTCTGAGCTCCCACGCACATAGAGGCAGAGTCCAGAAATGGTGCTGAGACCACGAGAATAGCAGTGGGCTTCCCAACCTGCAGAACAATAAGGGGTTACAGGGGCTTTGGAACACTAGCCCGAGCAGGGCAGAGGCCAATGATGGCATGGCTAGAAACGAAGGAGAGACATGTCTGCCAACAAGGCTACCGAGAGACCCTGAGGACAGAAGAATTGCATTGTTAATGTTTTCTTATCCTGACTTCTTGTGACCTGCTAACTTCCTTAATAAACTCTCATAATTGTGAATGCTGCCTGTGAGTTGTATGTGGACACTGCAACAGATTATCACACCCAGCAGGGGCAGAGTGCTATAGAAGGACAGTTGGTGTCAGAATAGGAAAAAGAAGGACGGAGCTTCACAGGACACGCCCTTGGGTAGCTCTGGAGTTGGACGCTCTTTCACTGTAGTGAAACTGGAGCAGGTCAGACGTGGTTTCCATGCCACTTCCTCCGATATGCAGGGGGCATGGTGGGGGGGTGGGGGGAGTTGCATTCACTTTCTATCCTTGTGTTGCTAGTTACACGTTTCTGTTTGTAAACTTTTATGCATGAACACTCATTTCCATTCTAGTTGTTCTGTTTCAATTAATCTAGTTTACCTTTCCCCTATCTATTTCTCCATCTACGATAAAGCCCTTGTATTATCCTTCTTGGTGCTTTTGGGGGACCATATTCAACCCAATACTGCCTTTCAAGTCAGGTCAGGAACTTTAGCCGAGTATCAGTCACTGTCTGAAACCACAAAGGTTCCTGGTTTGCTCAACAGCCTTCTGATTCAATGAGCAGACGTCTTCATGGGAATGACATGACACCCAATTCCTGAATATTACAGAATCCAGCACCATTATGATAAATAATGGGATTATTTCAGAACATGCCTCTCTGTCCCTCCTCTCCCCAATCTAAATTCTCAGTTTATAGCCCAGTGCTGACTGGCATAAGGAAGGTACTAAGTAATATTTGTTAAAATACTGAATGAAATGCTGACTGTGCCATAAGTAGGAACCAGGAGGGCAAGTCAGCCAAAGGGGAGAGGCAAAGAGAATACCCCCACAGCATGCATCGTCTTCCGTTCTCTTTCCCATATCCTTTCCTGGACAGTCCTTGCTCCCAGGAATGAGTCACGGGCCTCACTTTGGGTCACAGCTGTTCAGACCAGGGTAGGTACTTAACTCAAGTTGAGTCACTCATATTCCCTCTCCCAGAAAATTGGAACTGAGACTTAAACTTCTAGCTAATATCTATTAAAAGTCAAAATAGGGAAGTGATACAAGGATGGCTCCATGAGCAAAGGGGGAAGATCGAGGCCCTGGACAGAGGAACAGGAAGGAGAAGGACAGGAAGAAACAGCACAATCTCGGAGGGAGATCAGGAGCGAGACAGAATAGCTGGCGTGATCTGGGCTGTCTAGTTCCAGGCTCTAGTCCTTGGTGAGACCCAGCTCCTTTTTCTATCATTAAAAACTCAAAACTCACTGTCACTGAGTCAATTCTGACTCATAGCGACCCCGTGGGACAGAGTAGAACTGCCCCGTGGCTTTCTGGGGCTGTAATTCTTTATGAAAGTTGAAGGCCTCATCTTTCTCCCACAAAGAGGTTGGTGGTTTCGAACTGCTGACCTTTAGGTTGGCAGACCAACATCATGTGCCCATGCCTGTTTAATGAGAGCCCTCCTTCCTATTTATTTTGTTAGTCTGTTTTTAAATAATATTCTACTGTGTTTCAGAAAAGGGACGGTTCACACAGCAGTGTGGGTTCCCACTCAACAATTTCTATGCAAGTTGATGTTGGCTACATTCCTCAGTGTATGGATCTTCTCATTATTCGCATTTCCTTCTGTTAGCATTCATCTAGTTCCCCTGCCTCCTGACATTTCCATCTTTCTCGGGTGATAATTTTTGACTGTTGGATGTTAGATGGGCAATTTTTAAAAGAAACACAATAGTCATGGGTGATAATCATGGTTTTGTGAGCCAATGCACTATTTAGTTACAGAGAAACTCTGGTTAGTTTTGGTTCAAGGTTTGAAAAAAAATCTCAGGGCCAAGTCCCAGGGAGTCCTCCATTCTCAGCCAGCCCAGGTGGTCTGGTTTGTCTTTTAGAACCCCCTTTGCTATTACTAGCTTAAGTGGATTGTGTTTCTGGCAACCAACCATCTCAGACTAAGTGAACGCTTACCTACTGTCCCGCTAAAATAAGGTAGGGCCTACTCCTTACACTACAGCTAAGCACACATGGATAGCACCTTCAGTAGCAGCACCTGCCCCACAGACTACAAGAATGGATTCGTTTACACACCCTTTGCTGAATTTCTTGAACGGTGGCCTTATGACACTACGACTTTTCACAACACAGTGGCGTCCGACTCTTACGTTTGCCAGATCTCCTCGGATAATACAGTCATTCATCACAATGGTCTGCAAAAGAAGCATATTAAAAAAAATTACCCACGTGGACTAAAACATAGTAACAATGGAGGAAGCAACAACACACCGATGGAAAGTTATATTATGATGCACCAGGTGACATGCTCTGTCAAAGAGAAAGCCTGTAAGGTAGAAAGTTGCTCTCATGGTTGTCACCACAGAGCCTCAAGAGATGACCACCATCCATCAGAAGCCTTGCCCTTCATCTTCCAAAGAGAACTCATTGAACAAACCGCCCTTAGTGAGAGCACTTGCAGCAGACATAAATGTTTTTACACAAATAACCTTAGATGGCTGTGTTTTCTGCAAACTGTGCAGCCCCCACACATAGTAGTTTCCTGTGTACACTTATTGCCATTGAGTCGATACCGACTAGGGTAGAACTGCCCCTGTGAGTTCCCAAGACTGGAACTGTTTACGGAGGTAGAAAGGCCCATCTTTCTTGCCCGGAACAACTGGTGGTTTCAAACTTCCATCCTGTAGATCACAGGCCAACGTGTGACCGTTACACCACATGATGCCCATGATTTCTGTGGCTGTGTTGTATGTGAAAAATACAGTACAGTGTTTGCACCTCCTTAGATTTACTTGAACCCTGGTGGTGCTATGAGGTTAACAGCAAAGTCAGCAGTTCAAATGCACCTGCCACTTGTAGAAAGATGAGGCTGTCTACTCCCATAAAGAATTAAGTCTTAGAAACCTTACATAGGGTCCCTATGACTCACAATTGACACGACGGCAGTGGGTTTGGTTTTGCCTCCCAAGTCTTAGCTGCTTGCTTAAGAATTTTAGCTGTTCCCGCCTTTGTCTTATCTCCTAACAGCACTGACTGCCTCCCACTTCAGGCTTCCAAAGGTGGACCCATCAAAACTCTGATTCCATCTCCAACTTCTAGGCTCAGGTCAAGTGCTACAAAGCCAGGTGGGAGATCTGGCTCCCCTGAGGTTGTCTGATGGCATGGAGAATTTGAGATGGCATGATGGCCCATATTTGGTAAAGACACTTTAGAAATGTCTGTGGAATAAATGAAGTAAATGAGTATAAAGGTGAAAGTTAAATAGCTGGAGTTGCAGATGAAAAAGTTATCAGGGAACAGATTATGAGATCTACGTATGCTAAGCAAAGAAGCTTAGATTTTGTCCTAGATGGTATGAGGAATCAATGAAAGGCTTTAAAGCAAGGATTAACACAACAGAATTTTCATGTTAGACTATTACTCTGAAAACCGCCTGGAGAAAGCAGGTGAAGGAAAGTAAACCCTTAGATGACTGAGGTTGATCAAGGTAAAAAGAGATATGAACCCAATAAAAGGCAACGGCTGTGCAGGTGGGAAGGAGATAATACAGGAAGTAGATGAAACTGTCTGATGCCTGCAGACTTAACTGCCAGTTTGGAGAAAATACAGGGATGAAGATCACATTTAGAAACACCAGAAAGATATAATCAATCAAATGCAGAAATATGAAAATTCGATGGCATTTATGACGCAGTTCCTTCAAAATAAAAATAGCATGAGAAAATGGTAGAGAAAGAGAACTGTTACAGATTAAAACACTTATAAGAGGCATATCAACCAAGTGCACTGTGTGCATGACCTTGTTTGTATCTTGATTTGAAATAGCCAATGCTAAAACTATATCCTTCAGGTAATTGGAAAAACTAAACCTGGACTGAGGATTACATATTATTTAGAGAATTACTGCTGTTTTTAAAAATGGTATTGTACTTTTTTATTACAAAAAGTCTTTACTATTAGCAATACATATTAATATTTATAGGTGAAATAGGGTGTTTGCATTTGTTTTAAAATATAACAGGTCTGGGTTGCAGGGAGGGTATGGAGATAAAACAAGAATGTCAAACTACTGCCAACTGTAGAACCTGCCGAGTGAATACATGGGATTCAGTATCATAGTCTCGCTATTCTCCTGCAAGTTGTTCAAGTTCCATAATACTGTTATTACCCTCCTCACCCCCAAGGTCTGTCCACTGACCTTTATGACTCTCCCCATTGGTCCTGGGGGGGATTCTGGGAGCTACCCCTTCTAGCCTGGTCGTTTTGGGAAATTTTCAGGGCCTCTGTGTCTTTTCTTTGCTCCCATTGTTGTTCTATTATGTTCCCTTGTTGGTTTACCCCACTGCGAGGGAGGGTGGGGGGCGGGGGTCACACTGGACTAACTCCCTACTGTGTGTTCTCAGTATTATACCGTCACAGTATGCTCCAGTGAGGGACAACATCCAGTGAGGGACAACATTCGTCTTAATCTGTTGTCAGCCCTGCAGTCCTCTCTGTGCCTTAGCAGCTCCGTGCAGGGACATCGTCCGTCAGGCTTGGTGTGCTGATATGGAGTCTAGACCATCCCTTTCTCTTATTCCTTCTTGGTTTGCTTCTTAGACCTCTCTGTCCTAAGAAGGAATAAACTACTCATAACAAATCTCAAGACAGTAAGGTAAGTGAAAGGAGCTTGAAGGAAAGAAAGTACATGAAACCCTAGAAAACACAAAACAAATAGATATTCCTTTAGGTCAGTGATTGCCAGGGACCCAGGGAGAGAGGACGGCTCACTGGAAAGGGACACCCAGAAACCTTAACAGACGAGAGAAATGTATTAGAACTTCTTGTGGTATCTGCGAATATGTACACATTAGCCAGCACCTTTTTAAAAATTTAATTTTGTTATTTTAAAAAAATCATTTAATTGGGGCGCTTACAGCTCTTATAACAATCCATACATCAATGGTACAAAGCATATTTGGACATATGTTGCCATCATTTTCTAACATTCAATTTCTATTTAAGCCCTTGGTATCAGCTTCTTTTTTCCTTCCCACCCTTGTAACCCCTTGATACATTAAAATTATTTTCACCTCTCACACCGACCGCTATCTCTCTTCACCCACATTTCTGTTGTTCATCCCCAGGAGGGTGGGTGGGAGGTGGGTGGGTTATGAGTCAATCATGGCGATCTGTTCCCCCCTTCTCCCCTCCCCTTCCAACCTTCCTTGTATTGCTACTCCCATTTCTATTCCTGGGTATGTGTGTGTGTTACTGACCTGGATTCCATGTGTCGTGAGCTCTTATCTGTACCAGTAAACATGCTCCTGTCTACCTACAACTGAAAGGCAGGACTCGGGTCAAGATAGAGGGGGATGAGGAAGCCTCTAAAAACCAGAGAAATATTATGTGTTTCATTGGTGCTAGTCAGCACTCTTGTGTGATGGAAGTGAAATTGCTTAAATATAGCTCTTCAATGCATGTCTCTGTACCACCACCACCACCTCCCTCACCACCAAATAACTGGGTGGAGCCATGTAAACAGGGTGTGTAAATAGGCTCTCTGTGTTCACGAGAGCCATCTCATAAGGAGAGAGAATGCTGGGACTATAAAGGAACAATCACCATCAGCAGAGCATGTGAAATCCCAGCCTTAGCAACAAAGCCCACATGGAAGCAGCACACCAACATGTGTGATCATGAAGGGCCAAAGGGACCAGGCTTTAAACACCAAAGGTGGGGAGGGGGAATCATATCCTCATCAATGAGGGTGGCGTGTGATGGAGACCCAATGCCCATCTCTAGACAACTGGACATACCTTGCAGAGGGGTAGTGGGGAGATGAGTCACTTAGGGTACAGTATAGCAACAATGAAACCCACAACCTTCCTCTAGTTCTTAAACGCTTCCTCCCCCCAACTACCAGGACCCCAATATTGCCTTGCAGACCTGGTTAGACCAGATGATGCACAGCGGTACAGATGGGAATCAGAAACGCAGGGAATCTAGGACAGAAGAACCTCTCAGGACCAGGGGTGACAGTGGCGATACCAGGAGGGAAAGGGGATGTAGTAAGGGGGAATGGATTACAGGGAGCTACATATAACCTCCTCTCTGGGGGACGGGCAGCAGAAGGGTGGGAGAAGGGAGACGCCGGACAGTGTAATATAAGATACAATAATAATTTATAAATTATTAAGGGTGCATGGGGGAAAGGGGAGGAGGAAGGGAAGGGGAGGGGGAGGGAAAAAAAGTAAAATTAGCGGATTCCGGGAACCCAAGAGGCAAGCGACTTTTGGGAATAATGAGGGCAACAAATGTATAGATGTGCTTCACACAATTGATCTATGTATTGTGATGAATTGTATGAGCCCCAAAAAATTGATTAAAAAAAAAAAAAAGAAATCCCAGCCTGAAGCAGCAGAGGCAGCAGAGTGTAGCCTGCAGACTAAGAGACAAAGCCACGCTGAGAGAGCAGGGCCCAGACTATGAAGCAGCGAGGTAGAGAGGCAGGGAAGCAGACAGGCAGAAATCGAGGACCAAAGGACCAGAACAACATTCCTGCCAGCATGGCTGAGAAGAGACACCTGGGCTAGCGGATTATATTCTTACCGTTTTGCAATCTATTAGCTTCTCTAATAAAGCTTCATAACGGTGAGTATTTTCTGTGAGTTCAGTGTGGCCAGTACAATGAATTCTCAAACCCAGCAGAGACGGAAGGAAGAGGGACAACGGTTGGTGTCAGAACTGGGAAAAGAAGGATGGAGGGTGGGAGAATAACTCTTAACACCTTGTGGCAATTGGCCTTGGCAGGTGTGGAGGTGGATTATCCATCTCCTTTGTGGAGTCGAAGGTCACAGGTGGTCCCCAAACCATTTCCTCAACCTATTAACTACACATTTAAAATTCTTAAAATGCATACATCTTATTGCATGTAAATTATATCTCAGTAAAGTTGATTCTCTTAAAAAACATTTTATATTTTTAAAATTTTTAATCATTTTATTAGGGGCTCATACAACTCTTATCACAATCCATACACTTAAAAAACATTTTAAAAGCAGGAAAGAACAAAAACACTTCAATGTTGGGAGCAAAGTGAAATACTGGGTTTGAAGTATCTTGGGATGACCAATAGGCTGCTCGAAGGATGGGCCTGGAGCTGAGGTCAAAAGGCTAGCCTAGAGATGGGCAACACCTGGCATAGACCCACAGGTGGATTTGGACAAACGAGCATGAACACTACGCTCGCTGTAGGGAAACATGACAAAAGAAATGGGCCTGTACCCGGAAGAGTTTGCCCATCACACCCAAATGTGTGTATATTCAGTCTTCAAACCTCTAATGACAAAAAGAAACTACACATATTGCTGATTATAAAATATTACAACTGCCCTAGATTTTCAGAAGCTTTAAGCCTTTCCAATTCTTTAATCCATAATGTAAGTCACTCAAACTCTGAAAAACAAAGGCACTGCCATCAAGCGGAAGGAAGCTAACTAACTCATAGTAGCACGATCGGACGGACTAAAAACTGCTTCCTGTGGTATTTCAAGACTAGAAATTTTTACGGGAGTAAAAAGGCAACATCGTTCTTCTGCGGAGCGGCTGGTGGTTTCCCCCTGCTAAGGTCAGCAAACCAACACATAACTAAGGTGACCAGACGTCCCGCTTTTGGCAGGACAGTCCCGATTTTTTGCGTTTTTTAAAAGTCCCGATTTTAGGAAAGAATGCATGACAAGCTAAGGAACAGTTTATTTGGTCCATGTAGACCAAATTTTGAATCAAGAACTTCCCCACCACCACCACCCCAGTCAATGGTGTCCCGCTTTAAATCTGGTCACCTTACACATAACCCACTACACACCTCACCCCCAAAGAGGTGACACTTGTCTCACTCAGAAACAACATAGAGTGCTTGTATGGCTGTGCTAAAGCATTCGTCATTGTGTTTTTTCTCGAGCTTTATTTGCATAAAACATCGTCACCATGGTTCCAAAGAAAATTAGTGAGACCAGCAGTAAAGCCAAGAGGACAACTGTGAGAACCCGGACAGAGTTAAAGAAAGAGATCATTGCGAAATTTGAATCAGGTCCCCGCTTGTCTGATCTGGCTCCTGAAGACAAAGCGAAGTCAAAATTAAAACAATTTTGGAAGGAAAAAAAAGGTAAAGCGGCTAACGTGAAAGGTGTAAAACCATTAACCAGGAAACAAAAAACTCAGATGATCAAAGAGGTTGAAAAGGTACTGTTAATTTGGATATATCAGAAACAACTCTGGGGGAGGGAGAGGGAAAAAAAGAAGAGCTGATACCAAGGGCTCAAGTAGAAAATGTTTGGGAAATGTTGATGGCAACATATATATATTCAAGTGTGCTTAATACAATTGAATGATAGATTTTCATAAGATTTTTAGGAGCCCCCCCAATAAAAGGATTTAAAAAAAGAAGCAACAACTCGCTGGCCATAGTGTACGGCAGACGGGGATATGCAGGAAGGCTAACAGATTCCATAGTGAATTTTTAAGTATACATTTGGGGCCTCAAAACCAAGTATTTCATTTTCCATGATTTTTTTTTCCCCATGATGTCTTATGGGAAAAACACATTCAGTTCTTGAACTTTTTGGTGTTCGAACATGAAATTTGGAACGAATTGACCACTGAAGTATCACTAATTATATGCAGGTAGTTCTCAACCCATGGCAGGCTTCCTGTCCATTAACTCGAAGTCACATACTTCTACCGTATGTTGACTTTCTCTTATTTTTTTCCTTCTTAGCTTTTGTTATCAATAACTTTATAAATCTGGTCTTTGTCATTTGGGGTTGGAAAATTACTTAGAAACATCCGAGAATGATAACATTAGAATTACGTACAAACTGCAACACTGAATGCAGTACATATTCTTAATGATAAGGTTATACACACACACAAGGACAGTCCTACAAAGAAGGAGAATGGTAAGTGAAGTTTATCTTAACTCGAATACATCTTAAGTCAGGGACTACCTGTATTGATTACAGTCCAGTTCAGTTGCGTGGTAGGTTCATCAGTATTTCTTGGATTTTTATGCTTCATAATTTACATATATGACACATACTCTTTTATGTACACCAAATATCAGCAAGTAGGCATCTTTTTAAAAAGAAATTTGATTTGGAAATTGTACAATAAAGAGAAGACATGGCAACACTGGAGCTATCTTATTCAAGTAATAAATCAAAAACCAAACCCACTGCCGTACAGTGGACTCTGATTCATATTGGCCCTAAATAGGATTTCTAAGGCTCCAAAGCTTTACAGGAGCAGATTAGCCTCATCTGTCTCTTGCAAATCAGCTGGTGGGTTTGAACGCCAGACCATCATTTGCAAACCAACGCTAATGCGACAGTGCCACCAGGGCTCCTTACTAAATAGTTGGTGGCTGGAAAAGGAAGAGCAAAGTTATGTATTCTCAACCTGGCTCAGCCCCTTACCTTGCCATTGAGAACGATGTTCTGGCTTCCACACAGCACGGACTGCCGACTAACTTTGTTCCCAGACGCCTGAAAGAAACACAAAGGTGGGATGGGAAAATTGAGTAGCTTCAGGGCTGCTGGTTTCCGTCAAGAAAACTCATGTTGGAGAAAAAAGAGCTTGAAACGAGGCGTCGTCTACCACGGAATGAGTCCCGGATACACCAAAAGCAAGATGGATGAATAAACTGGGGATCCAGGGAATAGATAGTGAATTTGGAAGTGGGAGGTCTATACAGAGAAAGACATGGATCGAACTGCAGTTCTATGCTTCGGTTCTATTAGCCTAAAATACGGGTCATCATTGTACGACGCATCACATGGTTGTGAGAATTCAACGAGAGAGAAAAAAATTAATGCTGATTGGGCATTTATCCCGCTTCAAGCACTTTAAACCTATGTAATTTACGGACGAAAAAGAACCTAATAGTCCTTAGGATACAGTAAGAGATCGAGAAACGTTAAGTTTTAAAAATAAAAGGGCCTGGAGACTGAAACTGGCTATATCCGGCATAAACAACAAAGCAAGCCTATCTATGAAGTGCCACTAGATAATTCCGGGCTGGCTCCCAGAGGGACCCGGGGTGGGGTTGGGACTGGGAACTGGATGGGGACCCCTGGCCAGGCCTCCGAAGGACGCCGGCTCAGACAGGGGAGCTTCTGCGCCGGGGCATGCGCACCGTTTCGATGTACTCGGACTTGTTGTAGAGCAACTCGCCCAACTCCATGGCTGGCCGCCTCCCGTCTGCAGCTCCGACTCAGTCACACCCGAACAGCCGGGGCTTCCGTCCACTTCCGGCTGCTCGGCCACTTCCGCCGCAAGGCGGCTCATCCACTTCTCGACTCTCCTCTCGGTGGCCCCGCTCCCTAGCTCGGCAGTTGCCATCTGCACCTGCGTAGGACGGGCGCTGTCTTTCATTGGCCTGGCGGAGGGCGCGCCAAACCCGTAAGGACCAGCTGGGCACGCGCTGGGGTGATCCCGGGCCCACGTTCTTTCGCTGGCGACCCAGGACCCGCCGGGGCCCTGGCGGCCGCAGGATCGGGGCCAGCGATCTCCGTTCCTTTCTTCGGCCGCCGGCCCGATGGAAGAGCCTCCCGGAAAGCCCCTCAGCTTTGAGGAGAAGGAAAAGGTGCCTGGGACCTTGGAAGGGCTGGCACTCACTGTGATTCCCCACCCCCCGCCACTTCCCTAGTTTCAGGCCTGACGGTTCCCCCCGCCGTCCGAAGGTAGCAGGCACTCTGACCTGTCGCCCCCTCAGGGTAGAGTGGGGACCGGAATGACAATGCTGAAGAGCACTGTGCCCACGGGGTAACTGTAGCATTTAACAAAGTTTCATGATCACAGCACCAATGCACAAGTAGCAAAATGTAAAACTTTATAAAGACGAAGTCCCCTGTGACCTTCCCGCCACGGACCCCCGCACACCTTTCAATCTTGGTTTCCCCCCACTTAACGAGTAAATCTTTGGTAACCGGCTGGGATTTTCAGCATTTATTGGGGGGCGAGGTGAATGGTGGTGGTGTGGTCGTACCTGCTAACCACCCAAACGTAGTGCGTAGTTTTGGAGAGGGAAATGATCATCCCTGACCCGTATGATTCTGAACTTAGGTTTTCTTATTCCGTATGGAGGTCACATCCATGTTAACACGGAGGGTTTGAGTGTGCTAGCTGTGCCAGGCATCCTGCTGAATTCACATTAGCCCTTCAGCTCTCTTTACCCAACTTCTAGTGGGGGGTGAGACAGACCATTTCAAAGGAAGCAAGGTGATTCCGCATGTTCACTACAGGCTCTGTGAGACACAGTCAAGATGAGAGGTTAAGAGCAGACTCCATAGCACAATGACCTGAGTTTGAATTGCATAATCGTATCTGTAAAACGGGGGTAATAACATCTCAACGAATAGGGTAGTAAGGAGGGTTCAAAGGAGTCAATGTATGGAAGTTAGAAACGTACTTGGCACACCAACTGAAGCACAATATAGAACTGTCCCGTGTTGTGGAATTGAGAATGAGTCGGGGCGCACGTGACTCCTTTAGAGACTGTTTAATAGGATGCTATGAAAACAGAACTTCACACAGTCGATAAAGTGCCTACTAGCAAGCATGTTTGGCAGGTGATGATAGGTTTTTGTTTCTTTTAAAGTAGCAAAGGATTTTACTGGTTAAGGAACTAATACCTCGTGAAGAGACTCCTATTTCTTCGAAAACGAGAGAGGGTGACTTTGCTGTCAAGAGAACCCTTTGAATCTCAGAAATCAGAGAGATCAAGGGAATCTTAATCAGACTAGTTGCCCCAAGTTTATGTGTTTATTTAATAAGTATGTCTTGAATCCCCATTGTGTACCTGGCTAGGAATTCAGCAGTGAAAGCTTCGACTTCAGTGGCCTTGTGTATGTTCCTCAAATACACCAAGCCCATTCTACCACAGAACCTTTACCTTTGTGGTCCACTCTGCCTAGGATACCTTTTTATCTCAGTTCCCCGAACTAGCTCCTTTCTCTTTCAGATCTAAGTTCCACTTTTCTTCAGAAATGCCTCTTCCTGGACACCCTATCTTAAGCAGTTCATTCCCTGGGACCCAGGGAGATTGGAGTGGGACAAGAAAAATAAGTAGGGGAGGAAATGTTCCACAAAATAGAAATATTTCACGGAAAAGTCCCGAGAGAGTAGTGTTTGTGAGAACTACAAGTAGAGCCCTGAAGGCATTATAAGGGAGTGTACATCCACCCACTGCCTCTTGCTGAGGGCCCCTTCCTAGCAGTACACACTCATGTCTGGTGAGTACTGTGTCCCTTTCCTCTAACTCCATCTTTCCTCCTGCTCAGTATTGTTGGGTGTCTTTCTTGCAGTTGAAGGAAAAACTAGCATATTTGAGAAGAGAGTACAGCAAGACTTTGGCCCGCCTTCAGGTAAGTGACTCTGCTTTCAAACTGAGGCATTGTGTTACAAATTTTATAGAAACAGTTCTTCATATTTTAAAGATTTATTTGGAAGCTTATTTATGTACCTTAAATTTATTCCTGGAGATTTTGTTTTCTCTAGCGTGCCCAGAAAGCTGAGAAGGTTAAGGATTCTGTTAAGAAAAGAGTAGAAGAACAAACTTGCTCACTCCAGCAGGAAATTTGTCCATCGCTGAATCACTCAGGTAAAGTTAACACATTCGCTCATGCTAGCTTTATTGTTTGTTTGCCAACTGTTTTTGCTTTTTATTGTGAATTAGAGATAGTTTACGGACTTAGCAGTGTCTACTCCCATTACGCTAGATGCTATGCTTTCACCTGAATTGTTTATTTAGTTACTCTCAGTTTTCAGAACGTATACTTAAGCATTAGATGATTTAAATATATATGAAAGGCATCAAAATGTTCGTGGGAAAATTCCATTGTTTTAATTCCATTTTTCCATGAGCATTTGAAGCCCCCTTGTATGCACAAAGAAAAAAGTCTGGATGGAAATACTTTAAAAGCCAACAAGCATTTTGGTATTAAAAGTGAGAAATTTATTGGAAATTATTGAAATAGATAGCATTAAAATTATTTGAGCTAAGAGGAAAAAAAAAAGAAATAGACGGATATAAAAAATTAGGTGAGACTAGATGATTAGGATAATTAAATCTCCTAATTCTAAAAGGTACTTTTATCATTGAAATTCTATTGGCTGTTTATGAAAAATTACCATAGTTTATTAGCATATTAAAAACTTGAACCTGGATATGCTGAAATAAAATACCATTGATCTTTATTAAATAAATGTTAGATAATAATTAAATATTTTTGTTTCCTTTCAAAAGGAAAATATTACTTATATTTTTCATCCACAGAACCTAAAAATAAAGTCTATCCTCATGACAGTTTACAAATCAGTACTCAGCATGATGAAGAAACAGGAGAAAAGACATGTTTCACACCTGATATTGAAGCTGACTCCTTCAACCTTGAAGATGGTCCAGTGGAAGATTTACACCGACAAAGGACAGATGGTGTCCAAGACCATTTTTCGTACAGGGTCAATCACCCAGCTGATGATAAAAGACAGAGTAAATTGCCAGGAGGAAAAAAGCAGCAACAGAAAAGAACATTTATGTCTCAGGACAGAAAATCTCTCTTGCACTCTGATTCACGGACGCTCTCTAGAAAAGGACTAAAGGGACAGGAACAAGTCAACAGGGAAAATCCTAAGGCACCAGTATCTGAAATGAGAACTTACCTTTCTAGTCCTGAACCAGAAGTCCCACATTTTCCTGCACCAGTTACAGAAACTAACAGAAGGAATGCATTCATTCCACGAACTGCCCAGCCAGAAAGAAGTACTGATGGACTCTTAGGGGAAACTAATTTTCCCAAGGTGACCACAGCCCTTTTGCATACACCCTTAGATACCAGGAGTGGCCAACAACTTGAATGCATGCCTCCTAAAGCAAACTGTAAGCTCACTAAAATGAGCACTACTTTACCTCTAAATGTAGAGCCTCGAGATCAGAAAATGACTGTCCCTACAAATAACCCAGTGGTAAGTAAAGATAAAAGTGCAAATGACCAGCTGCTTAAAAGTCCTAACTTAGCCGCTGATCATTCACGTTTTATAAATGAGCACGCTTACCATAACGTATCAGCAAGTCAAAACCAAAACTTAAAAGAACAAAATCTCAGTGAGAAATTTTTAAAACCTCCTAATATTTTTGATGGCAGAAATGAAAGTCTTCGGGAAAATGAGGCTCTAAATACATCTAAGAGTTTGAGCCTAGAATCAATCTGTTCTGTTTCTGCAGAAAATGAAAAACATTCTTGTACAGTTCTAGAAGGGCTTCTGTTTCCTGCGGAATATTATGTTAGAACAACACGAAGCATGTCAAATCGCCAAAGGAATGTACCCATAGAAGCTGTAATTCAAAGTCATTTGCAGGATAGGAGGAAAGGATCGAAAAAGAAGATTAAAGCAACTAAAAAGTTAAACTTTTCCTATGAAGAAGCTGATGAAAGCAGAATTCAGATGAGTGACTCATGGGCAGGACAACCAAGTTCAAGAATTCCTGTGAAGTTTTTTTCTTTAACTGAGGCAAGTTGTCCCACCACACCTGCAAACAATAATGACTTCACTAGAAAGTCAGTAGCCCAGTCATCTGATAGAAACAGAAGGAAAAGAAAATCAGTCTGTAACCCAGTAGCTCATGACCAGGAACTTATTTTGCCCACTTCGGGCACATCAGGTGTTAACAGGACTAAGGAAGAAGTCATCTTGCACAAAGATCAAAATGAAAAAGAAGTTTTCTATGGTGAGAAGAGTTACATGTGGTTGGTATGATGATGACGATAGTTGGCATTGCTCTACTCTGTCCCATAGGGTCAGCATTGACGACAGTGGGTTTGGTTATTTGGTTTCTACGCATGGTCTAAATATTGTACGAATGCTAAATCATTGGGGCATCTTAGCAGCCTTGTAGGAAGTAGAAACTAAGGCAAGAGAAATTGAACTGTCTCCCCATGCACACAACTAGTATGTAGGCAAGCCTGGCAGTATAATGCCAAAGCTTACAAATAACGGTTGAAAACATAGACACTGAAAAGAAAAATGTATCATTAACTTTTCACAATGTGTCAACATTCTCTTGAATTGAGTTAATACTTTTTCAAGGAGCCCTGGGAGAGCAATGGTGACCCATTAGCTCAGCAGCCAACAAAAGGCTGGCAGTGTGAACCCAGCCAGTGCTCTGTGGGAGAAAAACCTGGCGGTCTATTCCCAGGACTGGTGTAGCATAGAGGACCCTGTAGGTCAGTACTACTTTGCAACATGAAGTCACTGAGTCAAAATTTGACGTAAGGGTACCCGAAAGAGTGTTTTCTCAGATACAACATGATCTTTGTCAGGGAACTTTTACTCAGACACATAATTGCTTTTACTTTATATTAGCCTCTACTAGATAAAGATAATTTTCTTCGGTGTGATCATACTTTTAAAAATGCAACTTTATTTTTGTGATTAAAATATCTAATGTAATCAAAGTTCTTTAAGTCACTCACTGCCATCGAGGTGATGTCCGCTCAGAGCAACCCTATAGGTCAAGGTAGAACTGCCCCTGTGAGTTTTCCAGACTGACCACGGGCGTAGAAAGCCCTCTCTCCCAAGGAGTTGCTGGTGGTTTCGAATGCTGACCTTGCTGTTAGCAGCCCAACTAGTTACCTCCATTTCACTAGGGCTCCCAGTTCCTCAAGTGCTGTGTTATAATTTAAACGTATGTTCATTTACTCCAAGTTATCTGATAAACAAATGATCCACGAACAGCGGATCATTCATTATGATTCCATAGTAAGTGTCAGCAAATTTTCTGCTAAGGGCTAGATAAGAACTATTTTAGTCTGTGAAGTTGATACTGCCTTGCTTGCAACTTCTCAGCTATGGTGTGGAATCTGCTGTGGACAGTATGTAAACAGTACTGTGTTCCAATTAAAAAACTTTAAAAACGTGGTGGGTTGCTACTGTATTTGAATCAGAAGTACACTCCTTGGATATTAATATTTCTTATGTTGACCTTTGCTGTTATTGTTGTTGCTTATTTTTGTATTTTAGGGAAGGAAGGTCACAGTCAAAAAGAGAACTCCATGACTTCCAGAGATAGTGTTTCTTGTTTAGCTTTGGATCGTGATACTGTCAGTCTTCCATTGCATGTGGATAAAATGCTAAGTTCAAAACAACGGTCATCTCTTTATAAAATCACAGACTTTCAGTTACCTGATGAAGACTTTGGATCTCTTAAGCTTAAAAAAGTGAAGCCCTTCTTAGAACAAATGATTGAATCTTTTGAGTCAAAAATGTGTGCAGAGAAGCATCGTCAAGAGGGAAAGGGTGCTGTTTGGGAAGAACTGATTCCTAAGCAGATGGATGTAGAAACGGAAGTCTTGGGAAAGGAACTCATCATACCATCAGGCAGTGCACATCCTAAAATGTCAAACCTACAAGCCAAGCCTAAGAACAAGGGTCTCTCTTCATCCATGCTACTTTGTACTCCTTTGATTACTGTTACACCTGAAGAACATGTCAGACCTACTGCAGACATGTGTTCGCCTTCCTTCCCCATCTTAGGCACTACTCCTCTTGTTGGCTCCCAAGCACCCTGTAAAAATGCGTCTACGAAGGTTGTTGGACCTACTTACTATACAGGCCAACTTTCTCACTTGAAAGACACAATCAGTCTTAATAGTGATACTAAGCCATGCAACAATTCCATCCAATGCTTAAAATTGGGTGCCAGCCTCCATGTTTCACATCGAAAAGAACAACCAGACTGTTGTGTCTCCGACTCCCAAGCAGCACCTCTATCCATGGAGTCGTTCACTGCCAAAGGAAGTCAGCTACGTGGAAGTGCATGCTTGGAGTTGTGCGAAGATTCCGTTGAGCAGGTATAATCCGTTGCCTTCATGAAATTTTCTCTGAAGAAATAACAGATCTTAGCATGGATAGCATAACTTCCTTCTACAATATCTCCTTGGTATTTGAGAATGTTCTAACATTTCTTTGTAAATATTAAGTTCACTCTGAAGAAATTAAAATATATATTTAAGAATATGGAATGATCCTAATTTTGTTATTAATGAAGCAGTTGCATTTGGAACTTTGCTGCTGTTACTGGAAGAAATAAAAATATACAAAGTAGATATTTTGATGACTGAATTGAAAGCATACATAAATCAGAGATTAACACTGTGACTTTTGTTTCCACAGACTATAGCAGACCTTACTACCTATGACAGCTCAAACCCAGGCAGCCTACAATTGGTTTCAAAGTTACAGGTCAGAAGAATGTCTCCTTATAGTAGTGTGTCTTCTGTTTGAGACATTTGATACATTTCTAAGATGATTTAAAAAAAATTTATAATACAGCTTTCTGTTCTTTTATTTAAAACTATGACATGAAAGAGGTAAAACAGATTCAGGAAAACTCAAGGTACCCACCTCTGTTTATACTTTGAGATCCCCGCCATTCCAAGACATTTGTATGAGAAGCTATTGCCAACAGTAATGTAGGCTAAGTAATTCAACTTTGTATCTAAATTTAAATCAGGCATTCAGACCAAACATGGAATGGGTGTCATGTTTGCGTTGCTTATGGAGACTTAGGAAGTAACATCCCAGAGCACCGTGGACACTGTCACCTGGGTAATTGTTTGGGGAGAGACATCTCCTGTATTGTAGGGTCTTTAGCAGCATCCTCTACATCAGAGGTCCTCAAACTTTTTAAACAGGGCCAGTTCACTGTCCCTCAGACCGTTGGAGGGCCCGACTATAGTTTAAAAAAAAAACCTGAACAAATTCCTATGCACACTGCTAAGCAGGACAGGCAGCAAAAACACCCGGGGACCGCACGTGGCCCACGGACCACCGTAGTTTGAGGACCCCTGTTCTACATACTAGATGCCCAGGGCCCAGGAGGAAACCCCTCTGCATGTGACAACCAAAATAGACACATATCTCCCAGGAGAACAACATCATCCTAGATGGAAAGCATTGGTGTGCAGGGAAGAGCTTGAAAGACCCAGACTGTGCCTTTTACTGAATGATCTTCAGCAAATTGTTAGCTTCATAATCCCAGTATCCTTTTGTGTAAAAGATGGATAGCAATGCCTGTGGCCTATTTCAGACATATTCTCCAGTCAGTTTGAACAACTTGGTATCTTGAGGAATTGACTTTCATTATTTTCAATTTTATATGCAACTAGTATATATATATATATATGTGTGTGTGTGTATTTTGTCTGTGTATCTATGATTACGCTTTCTCCCTTCCCTCACCATTTCTAATAGCATTTACTTCATTTTTTCTTTTTTATCTCCCCTATATTAGCTGTACCAGAAACTTAACCATTCTGTTAGGCTTTCAAAAAACCAGTTTTGTTATGTTGTTAGTGATAGTATTGTGTTTTTATTTCTTTCAAATATCTTATTTTTTTCTGGTGATATTTTTTAACAACTTTTTTAGTTGCATTCTTTATTTAATTCTTATTTTCTAATAAATTCCTGTATTTATTTATTTTAATACTACTTGACCATGCCTGGTAGTTTTAGATATACTGTGTTCTATTGTTTGTTTCTAAAAACAGTTTGTTGTTTCAGCGTTTATATCCTCTGTAACCTATGTGGTTGATTAGAATGTTTATCCAAGTGGATAAATCCTCATACGTACTCTTTTTGTAAAATGAAATCTATTCCATCTGGAAGATATTTTTTAATCTATCAAATTAGACCCCCAAACTATTTATCATTTAAATATATAAAACTTAAATTACAGTAACTTGGTATTTCATCTGATCTTTGAGATATATTTTCAGTTTCTTTTTCCTTTCATAGACATGTCAAGTATGACTTTAAAACAACTCATTTGTTTCGTTGTCAGAACCCTGCAGGTTCCTGTTCTGTAGATGTGAGTACCATGTGGTGGGACAGCACTGGGTCTAAAGAGTCATGCATCATAACTGCCTGTGAGTATGCAGTTTCTCTTTGGAAACCTCTGGATACATGGCAGTGGGAAAAAGTTTATACCTGGCACTTCACAGAGGTAAGTCAGCTTAGTGCTGAAACAGCTCTGTGCAATCATGCATGACGTTGTCGAGGGGCAGCTACCAAGAATGGGACTTAGGACAGTGTAAATTGTGTAGATTTTTTTTTTCCTGATGAAATTATTTACATATACAGAAAAGTGGTATATGCTTATCCCACTATCATACACTTATCCAGGGAGATGGGTTTTTATTAATAGACATGTTGGTGGAGTTTGGAGTTTTATGCCTATTTTGACTTCTAAATTTTTATATTCAATATTTATATACTTTTCCCTTTACCAAAATATTACTTTTGCTTTGTTTTGAGATACATTACCTCTAGTCTTTGTCCACGGTCACACATGGTCGAAATCCTAGTATGCTTATAATTTTTGAATCTGCCTTTTCTTACCATATAATTATTTTTCCTTGCTGCTGCATTTTTTGTTGATTTTCATTTTTGTTCTCCACCATATACCCAGCACTATAGTTTGTACACAAGTGCTCAGTAAATATTTTTGTTGAATAAGCTTTAATCTTAAATAGCTGCATCATGGCAGAATTTACTAATTATTCCCCTTTTATTAGCCATATGGATTATATTAAGTTAGTGCGCCAATAAATGTTGTTGCTGATAAGTATTATTGAGTTGATGCTAACGCATAACAAACCCATGTAATGGTAGGGACAAGCAAACACTTATCCCATAGTTCCATAGGATGTAATCATTATAGGAGTCCTGGTGGCAGATCTGGTTATGTGTTGGACTACTAACTGCAAAGTTAGCAGTTTGAAACCACCAGCTACTCCATGGGCAAGAGATGAGACTTTCTATTCCTGTACAGAGTTGCAGTCTTGGAAAACCATAAGGAGAGTTTTACACTGTTCTATAGGGTCACTGTGAGTTGGAATCAACTCGATAGCTCTGAGAATCTTTATAGGAGTAGATTTCCAGGTCTTTTGCAAAACTATTAGTGGGTTTGAACTGTCAACCTTTTGATTAACAGCCAAGTGCTTAATCATTGTGCAACCAGGCCTTCTTGCTATAATAAATACTATTACTCATATAGCTCATTTGGCTTTACCACTGTTTGCTGAACCTTCTCATATGATTTTAATGCTAGAATCTATCTTCCTGTAATGAAAAAAGAAATGGGATAAAAATGTGAAATTTTAGATTACTTAAAAACTAAACACCAGAGGCCATATGGGACAATGGGAGGGAGCACCGTGCTGTTGCCAAAAGCTAGGAATTTAAGTCCTGACTGTGCTTACTGGTCGTGTGAAGTTCAACAGCCTGGTGCCGCCAGGGCTCTCTTGAGAGCCATTTCTCTCAGTGAAATCAGTATTACAACCAACCAATCGATATAATCTTTGATTCTTTTTGTTCTCTGTAGATTCCAGTATTACAAATTGTTTCAATGCCTGATGTGTGTAATTTTGTGTGTGTTGCTTTGGGAAATTTAGAAATCCGAGAAATCAGGTATGTTATTCTCAACGAGTATTTTTTGTTGTTTTTTCAACCCCCTTTATCTTTGCCTCTGCCAGACTGTTATGAGTATATATTATAGCTCAGCTTGAGTCTTGAATCTTTAGTCTTGAAAGGACTGGAATTTAGTTCTAAGAAGAGATTTGTCTTAAATATGAGAAGAAACTATCAATACAATGACATCTTGAACTAAAGTTTCCAGTTAAACTTTGAAACTGCTTCTTTAATATTAAAGATTTATTCCTAGCTTTCCCCTATTTTTTCCTTTTATTTTGTTTAGGGAATTATTTTATTCCTCTAATGATGTGAGTGAAAAGCAGGTGCTACTGAAATCTGGGAATATAAAAGCTGTGCTTGGTCTGACAAAGAGGAGGCTGGTCAACAGCAGTGGGACCCTTTATGACCAACAAGTAGAGGTCATGAGATTTTCAGAAGATGGAGGGTAAGAAAAGTATTGGTTGAATTTTAACTATGAAATAGAGAATGATTTTATCACAGGGCTCAGAACCTGGATTGCATCCATCTCCTCTTTCTGTGCTGTAGGTATAATATAAAGGAGACCTGATAGCGCCATGGTTACATGCCCAGCTGCTAACTGAAAGGTGGATGATTTGAACCCACCAGCCTCTCTGTAGGAAAAAGATGTGGCAGTCTGGTTCCATAAATTGTAAAGCCATGGAAACCCTACGGGGCAGTTCTACTCTGTCCTTCAGGGTGGTTGAGAGACTGCAGAGGGATTAGGTGTTATTATAGCTATTATTCAAACAATAAAAACCCCTGGAACTTGAAAAATAAAAATAAACCAAAATCATTGAGTTGATACCAACTCAGTGACACAAAGTAGAATGGATGGACCCTTTGGATTTTCCTAGACTAAATCAGGAGTAAACAACCTCATCTGTGGAGCAACTGGTGGGTTTGAACCACTGATCTTGTGGTTAGCAGTTCAATACATAATCCACTGTGCCACCAGAGCTTCTAACATAGCTAGAGTTAGGCTATAAGTTCAAGCAGTTTATAGAGACAGAAGCTAGACATGATAAGAGACAATAACTCAGAGGAGATAACAAGGGGATAGAGAGATTCAGCAAACATAGTTTTCTTTATTCGTGGGTCTTCTTTGTAATCTCTGTTCCTTAAATATTAGAAGTGTCTAACATACTGTGGTGCCACATCATGAGTCCCTCAAGTTAGAAGGTATTGGAGAAGAGCTGCCTCCTCAAAATAGAGTCAGTCTTAATGATGAATGGAGCAAAGCTTTCAGGACCTTCATTTGTTGTTGGGAACGGACTCAAAATAAGAAGAAACCGTTATAGACATCTATTAATAAATTAGAAGATGGAACGTAGGAAAATGGGAAGTTGTCAAAAGTTAAATGGAATGCGTTCATTCGTTCCTTGCCCTTATTGAGCTGAAATGGACTCGTAATAGCAGAGCACACCAGAAATATGTACCTGTGTTTGACTATACAGAGACTTTTGACTGTGTGGATCACAAGAAACATAGAAGAGAGCGGGGATTTCAGAACTCTTAATTGTGCTCATGCAGAACCAGTACATCAACCAATGGGCAGTTGCTTGCAGAACAGGGGAATAATACTGCAGGAAATGTATGCTTTTCAACCATATGTCAAGCAAATAATTCAAGAAGCTGGAAGAACTTGGCATCAGGATTGGAAGAAGACTTATTAACTGCTTGTGGTATGTAGATGCTACGACTTTTTTTTGCTACAAGTTTATTGAAAGAGGATTTGAAGCATTTGCTGATGAAATTAAAGACTGCAGCCTTCATTTTGGATTATAACTCAGTGTAAAAAAAAAAGTAAACCTTTTACAACTATCCATAGCCAATATCATGATAAAAGAAAAAAAGATAACGTCAAAATTTTCATTTAACTTGGATTCACAATGAAGGCTCATGGAAGCAGCAATTAAGTCATAGGATGTATTCATTGGCCAAATCTGCTGAAAAAGACATTGAAAGTGTTAAAGAGCAAAGATGTCATGTTTAGGACTAGCCTATCCCAAGCCCTGATATTTTTATTTGCCTGGTATACGTGTGTAAGTTGCACATTAAATAAGGAAGACTAAAGAAGGCCTGATGCATTGGAATTATGGTGTTGGTTAAGAATATTGAAAGTACCACGGACGATCGGAAGAACAAGCATCTGTCTGAAAGTCTACAGACAGAATGCTCCTTAGAAGGAAGGTGGGTGAGACTTCATCTTATGTACTTTGGACGGCTTATCAGGAGAAAGCAGTTTGCGGAAAAGGGCATCATGCTTGATAAAGTAGAGGGTCAGTGAAGAAGAGGACTCTCGAGGAGGTGGATTGACCCAGTGGCTGCAAGATGGGTTTACACATAACAATGGTGAGAATGGTGCAGGACTGGGCGTTGTTTCCTCCTGTTGTACCTAGGGTCCTATCAGTCAGAGCCATCTCTACGGTACCTAAGGTCTTAGACCTTTTTCTTAGTCCACACACTTCCCATTTCTTCAATTATCATCTTGGTGCAGATTACTTGCAAAAATTGGTCCTTAGCCCTGAACTTCTGACCTATATACCTATTTATTAGATATCTCCTGGACACCTCAAACTCAACACGTTGAACTTTTATTAGAGCATCCTTTCTTTTTCTTCTATATTAACCACAATTTGTGATTATTTATCTTGTCTTTTCTAACAAGGGGAAGTGGTGATCTTGTGTTGTCCATTCATGACCTTCGTTGCTGTGATTTAGGTAAAAGACAGGTCATGGCATGCTTGAATTCGGAAGGGAAGTGTTAGTGTAGAGAGAGAGAAGCACAGATTTGAGAAAGACGAACATGTGAAATCGTTAGGACTTGGTGCTTAGCTAGAGAGAGAAAGGTAAGGATAATGCCCAAGTTTTTACTGGGGTCACTTGGTTAGCTGGTGGAGTTTGTTGAATTAAAGAATATAGAAGGAAACATGGGATTTTTTTGTTGTTGTTTTGTTTTTTGCTGTTGTTGTTTTAATCGTTTTATTAGGGGCTCATACAACTCTTATCACAATCTATACATACATCAATTATGTAAAGCATATTTGTTTGTACATTTATTGCCCTCATCCTCAAAACATTTGCTCTCCATCTAAGCCTCTGGCATTAGCTCCTCATTTTTTTCCCTTCCCTCCCCGCTCCCCCCTCCCTCGTGAGATTTAAAGATTAAAAAGTGTGAGTTTTATTTTGGATATGATGAATTTGAGGTACTTGCAACATTAATATGCAGTGAAACATATTCAAGGTAAAAAAATTAGAATATTTTTCATTTAAATTTCATTTTCTAGAATTAGAGTAGTTTTCATTTTACATTGTTCATGAATATATAGAAGAATCACTTCATTATTTTAGTGCAAAGTGTTGATTTTTTATGCTGTTTAAAAATGCAGAAGCAAAGAAAAGCAATTTTTGATGTCCCCTGAGGAGACTGTACTTACTTTTGCTGAGGTCCAAGGGATGCCAGAAGCGCTGCTTGGCACCACGCCTATGAACAACGTTGTGATTTGGTAAGCTCTCCCTCTGGGCCATACTTCTCTCATCTGGACTACGAGCGCATACACCTAAGTTCACAGGGTTGTTATGAAGATTAAAGACTGCAGAAACATGATTGGCTTTTTTTTTCTGTGTTACATATTTGTCTGAACACGAGTATATGAATTTTCAGATACTGTAAGTAGGGTCAGACCATCTGAGTAGAATATTCTAAGATAAATGGAATTTTATTGTCAATTTTCTATTGTTTCTGCACCTGGTTAATAGCTGAGTAGCTTCTATAGAGCCAAATTTTGTACCTTAAGTGACTATAAACGCTGGGCAAAATAAGAAAAGCAACTATTTGAAGGCACTGGAGAGCAAGCAGACGTAGCAAGATCCTGGAGAGATCTGACACATTGAAGAAGCAAACGGCACTGGGCACATTGCTTGTTTTTATGACAGAGGGCAACCCGCAGTCCGGGCACTGGGTAACTACAACCCTATAGAAAATCTTCCATTGTACTGGTGAGGGAATCTGTGTTTGCCTCCTAACCTTCCTTTCAGGGGTATCTTCAGCCCTTACGTTCTTACATTCTTCTCTGTTGCATTATCTCAGTGTTCATTGATACTCCTTTCTGGATTCATATTGGCTTTATTTATTTTATTGAATTTTTTATTGTGAATTAAGTGGGGGTTTACATTTCAGACCATCAGTTTTGTATTCAACAACTTAAACTACTTATCAGCAACCGCACCCCCCTCCCCCACCTCCCCACCCCCACAGCCTCAACCTTGCTTTACGCCTCTCTTTGATTTCTCTTCTCCCCCCAGTGGAATACTATCTTCCTTTTCGCCCAAGTTAGCACCTGTCTGCCCTCTAGCCAGTGGTTCTCAACCTTCCTATGCCGTGACCCTTTCATACAGTTAGTTCTTCATATTGTGGTGAGCCCCCCAACCATAAAATTATTTTCGGTGCTACTTCATAACTAATTTTGTTACTGTTATGAATTGGGCAACCTCTGTGAAAGGGTCGTTCGGCCCCCAAAGGGGTCATGACCCACAGGTTGAGAACTGCTGCAAGTCTAGCCTATTACTTCAGCTTCCCTCCTTTGGCCTCCCCTCCTTGGTTAGCATCAAAGTTACTTTCCTTTGATATAAAAATCTTTGTCTTGATTTTTTTCTTTATTAAAGAGGCCACATACAATATACTTTTGTGATTGACTTGTTTCACACAACATAATGCCCTCTGAGTTTATCCATGCCCTGAGGAACTTGATAGTTTCATCATTATCCTTTAGCATGTATGTACTGAAGTTTCTTTATCTGGTCTTCTCTTAATGGGTAATTCGGTTTTTTCCCCCCATCTTTTTGTTAATTGTAAACAGTGCTGTGATGAACATGGATGTGAACATGTCTGCGTTAAGGTTCTTACTTCTTTAGGGTATGTACCCAGCAAAGGGATTGCTAGATCATAGAGAATTTCTAATCCCAGTTGGAGACACTACCATATATTGCTTTCAACTGTGGTTTCCCATTTGCACAGTCCCACCAACAGTGTCTGAAAGTTCTGGTCTCCCTATGTCCACTCCACCATTTGTTATTTTCTGTTTTTGCTTTTTGCTCTCTCTTTTTAATTCTGTTGTCAGTACCATTATTTTTATTTGCATCCCTCAGATGAATAGTAATCAGGCGCATTTCTTCATGTATTCATTGGCTGCTTGCTATCTTTTTGGTGAACTGCCTTTTCCTCTGTCAGTTTTAGGTATATTCAGAAAAAGCTACTCTTCTTTTTCTAGTTGAGGTGTTAGAGTCTTGTACAGATTTTAAGAGAGAGACCTCCTTCTTTTTTAAAAAAAATCATTTTATTAGGGGCTCACACAATCCACACATACATCAACCGGGCAAAGCACATATGTACACTCACTGCCCCCATCACCCCCGAAACACTTCCTCTCCACCCAAGCCCCCGGCACCAGGTCCTCACCTCTCCCCTCCCTCCCCGCTCCCCCTCCCCCACGAGCCCCTGATAATCCACAAATTACCATTTTGTCATATCTTGCCCTGTCCGACATCTCCTCCCACCCACCCCTCTGCCACCCATCCCCCAGGGAGGAGGCTACACATAGCTCCCTGCAATCGGTTCCCTCTCTCCAGCCCACTCTCCCTCCACCCTCCCAGTATCGCCACCTACACCACTGGTCCTGCAGGGATCATCCGCCCTGGATTCCCTGCATCCCCAGCTCCCATCCGCACCAGTGTACATCCTCTGGTCCAGCCAGACCTGCAAGTACCATGACAGTGGAAGCGGAGAGGAAACATTTAGGAACTAGAGGAAAGCCGTATTTTTCATCGTTGCCACATCGCACCCCGACTGGCCCGTCTCATCCCTGAGACCCCCCTGCAAGGGGATCTCCAGTGGCCTACCAATGGGCCCTGGGGAGAGACCTTCTGATGTGTCATTGCCAAAAAAAAATTTTTAATCGCTTTATTAGGGGCTCATACAACTCTCATCACAATCCATACATACATCAATTGTGTAAAGCACATTTGTACATTCATTGCCCTCATTGCCAACAATTTTTGCCCGGTCCTTGGGTCCTCTTTTTACTCTTGATGAAATTGTTTTTGTTTTTTTTAACCTACTATAGTTCTACTTTATTTATTTTTAATCATTTTTATTAGGGGCTCTTAAAGCTCTTATAACATTCCTTACATCAGTTGTATCAAGCATATTTGCACATATGTTGCCATCGTTTCCAAAACATTTTCTGCTGAGTCCTTGGTATAAGCTCCTCTTTTTCCCCTGCCTCCCCCACCCTCCTTCCCTCATGTATCCTTGATCAATTGTTATTGTTATTTCATATCTTACACTGTCCATTGTCTCACTTCACCCACATTTCTATTACTGGTCTCCTTGGGGAGGGGGGCTATATATCCAATATTGTGATGGGAGTCTTTTGATGCACATAAGTGTCATATTTTAGTCCCAGGCATCTATTTTGTCTTTTGCTGTGTTTTTTTAATTTTTATTATGTGTGCTCGTGTGTTTATACCTTGTATTAGGGCCCTTAGATCTGTCCCTATTTTCTCACTGATGATCTTTATAGCTCTGGGATTTACATTTAGGTCTTTAAGCCATCTTGAGTTTGTTTTTTGTATTTGGAATGAGATATAGGCCCTGCTTCACTATTCTGCAGATGGAAATCCAATTTTGCCAGCACCATTTGTTTAAGAGACAATGTATTCCTCATTTAATGTTTTTTGGCCCTTTGAGGAAGACATGTTGTTTATAGGTGGATGGATTTATTTCTGGATTCTCTAATTTTATTCCATTGGTCTATGTAGCTTCATAACAGTGCCAGGCTTTTCTGATTACCCTGGCTGGGTAGATCAGGAAATTAGAGGCCTCCTACTTTACTCTTTACACTAACTAGTGCTTTGTTTGCCATGTAAAGTTGGTAGTTTCCCATTTCTTTAAAGAATGATTTTGGGATCTGGATCAGAATTGCATTGTATTTGTAGATTGCTTAGGGTGGTATTGACATTTTCACAATGATAAGCCTTCGTACCCATAAGCATGGAAAATTCTTCCATTTATGTAGGTCTCTGGTTTCTTGTAATGTTTGGTAGCGTTCTTTGTGTGTCTTTTGTTTCTCTGGTTAGGTTTATTCCTAGGTGTCTTGCCTTTTGAGAGACTATTGTAAATAGTATTTTCTTGATTTCCTTTTCAGAGCTCTCTTTAATTGCTTCCAGGAATCCAATTCATGTTAATCTATTGATCTTATACCCTGCCACACTGCTGAATTTTTGGATTGTGTCCAAGTGTTTTATGTCAAGTCTTTGGGTTTCTATGTATAGAATCATATCAACTATTAATAGAGAGAATTTTACTTCTTCTTTGCCAGTTTGGATGCTTTTGATTTCTTTTTGTTGTCTAATAGCTCTGGGTAAGAATTCCAGCACAATATTGAGTGTAAGTGGTGATAAGGTACATCTGGTATCTAGTTCCCATTCAGAAGAGGAATGCTTAGAGAATTTACAGCTTCTTGCCATTGAGGGAGATGTCGGCTGTTGGTTTTACGTATATGGTCTTTATTGTGTTAAGAAGTTTCCCTTCTTAAGAAAAAAGGGATTTCTATTGTGCAGAGGCTCTGCAACACCATGGGGATTTAATTAATGTGTTCTGCGGCTCTTTCACTGCGTGTATCTATGTTTATGGTGGTTATGCTTTCCTGTACCGTCCCGTTCATCGTGTGTGATGCCCTTCTTTGTGTTTCATGATAGATTTTTCCTTGAAGCCTATTGTCTCAGAGATTACAGAGTAATATTGTCACTCCTGCTTCTTTTGATTGCCATTAACATGATTTCTTTTTACATCCTTTGATTTTTTAGTCTGTTTTTATCTTTACGCATGTAGACTTTATTTTTAATTTGGCACTTGCTACTTTGTATTGTTTATCCTTTCTGATTCTCAGTAAATATTTGTTTGTTTATTTTGTATCTGTCTCTCTCAGAGATGCACAATGAATCAGATATGAGTCCTGGTATCAAGGTCTCTAAAATCTAGTTTCAAAATTCTACCACAAAGTCAAAGTGATAGTTTGATGAGGGAGCGATTGTTAAATAGAGAGCATATGCTAACCAGATAAACCTATTCTGGTACCTGACTTCCTCATTGTGGGGTACCAGTCCCCACAATCATACCGGTCCAAGGGGCGTTTGTGTAATTGTAAAGAGACATCAGACAATATAAGACATGCAGTCACTCACCTCCCAGACAGCCATGACCTCAGCAGCCAGGTCCGCACCGAGAGAGGGAGAAGGAGTGAGTATATTTCCAATCACGGCGTGTATACACTTTTGGGGATGTGCAAGCCCCCCTGAATACATCATAATGGGAAGGGGTTGTACAATTGGCATACATAAATCAAAGGGGGACAAGCTAGGGGTATACATGCAATCAGAAGAGGCGGCACTACGGGTAGGAAGAGGCGGCACTAAGGGTACACATGTGATAAGAATATGGGTGGAGCCTAGATTCAAGATGGCAGCCTAACTTTGAGTTGGCTAGAACTTGTCTCTGGGCTCTCCTTCAGAGAGACAATCCACTATCCTTATCAGAAGGGAGTGGGCCCTACTTAGGGTGGGACAGACTATAGAGCAGTGGTTCTCAACCTTCCTAATGCTGTGACTCTCATGCAGTTCCTCATGTTGTGGTGACCCCAACCATAAAATTATTTTCATTGCTACTTCATAACAGTAATTTTGCTACTGTTATGAATCATAATGTAAATATCTGAAATGTAGGATGTATTTTCATTGTTACAAACTGAACATAATTAAACATAGAGCATAGTGATTAATCACAAAACAATATGTAATTATATATTGTGAAATATTTATGTGTTTTCTGATGGTATAGATGACCCCTGTGAAAAGATTGTTCAAGTCTCAAAGGGGTCGAGACCCACAGATTGAGAACCGCTGCTATAGAATCTGAATCTGATTGCTCTAGATAGCTGAATGCCCTCTGGGAGATAACCTCTAAGCAGCTGATGTTGACCTCCAAGTGTACAGTCATTTACCATGTGATGCATCTTAGGTTTGGCATATATTTGGGGGAGACAACCTGGGGAAAAACCTTTCTGCATCCCTTACCTGATAAAAAGAATTAGTTTTTTTAAAAAAAGACATTTTACTTTGATTTCAAGAGGTTTTTCCTACCCACAAAACCCCTGACCCAATGATGACCTTGCCTATAGCTTTAGTCACCTGATTTCTTTGCCCTAAATTCCTTATCAGCTTTGTGTCTGGGTTAAACTTTGTTTTGTTTGTGTGTTTTTTCACTGTAAAGAGCAGTCAATATAAAACCTACTGCCTCACAATTTAATGGAAAAGACCGTGTGCATCCTTAATTTCAAAAGGACTCAATACCTACAAATATGTAAAGGATAAAATTTTAAGGAGTTACTTTCTCATGCTAGCTCAATGGTCATTGAGACTTGTATTTAATACGTGGAGACTTGTATTTATTAAGCAAAACTGTTGAAGTCTCTGTGAAGTCGCCATCCTCTGGAAGTGGTTTCTTCTCACAGAAGGAGAAAGTTGTCCCAGTTTGCAAATTGTTCATTAAGTCATAGAGCAATCAAATATTGTTGCTGTGTGTCAGAACTGATTTACATTGGAGGCATAGAACAGAACCCCCTTGTAAGTCAGAGACTACCTTTCAACCACGACGTGGTCGAGGGGTGCTAATCTGAGCTGAGCACTGAGCACTGAGGGTGGAAAGGGTAAGTTTCTAGATTGAAGCATAAGAGTGAGCAAAGATAGTGCATGTAAAGCACAGAAAAATGTACAACCTTGGCAGCCCTGAGGGGCAGTTCTCTGTCCTGGAGGTTTGCTATGAGTCAAAGTCAGTTCAATGGCAACAGGCCCCCATCAGTCTGGAGGAGCTCTGGTAGCATAATGATTAAGCACTCCGCTGTTTGACCTCACTGGCTGCTCTGTGTGAGCCCTGGTGGCATAGTGGTTACACATTGAGCTGCTAACTTCTAACAGTTTGAACCCACCAGCCGCTCCTCGGGAAAAGACAAGGCTTTCTGCTCCCATAAAGAGTTGCTCTTATAAACCCGCACGGGCATTTCCACCTTGTACTATGGGGTCGATCTGAGTCGTAGTAACTTACTGGCAGTGAGTTTTTGAGCACTGCAGTGTGGTGTAGGAAAAATGTGGCTGTCTGCTTCTTGTCTTAGAAGATTACCGCCTTAGAAATTCTGTGGTGCAGTGTTACTCTGTCTCTTGGGGTCACTATGAACTAGGAATATCATTCGTTTCATGGGTAACAAGATTTTAGGGAAGAGAGCAATGAGTAATATGGTCAGGATGTAGCAACACTGGATTCCTTAGGGTTTAAGAACTTGGACTTCATTGGGGTGAATTGTGGAACCAGTGAAAGAAAATTTTTTGTCAGTAAAGTGACATGACAAAACAGTTACTAGTGTCACAGAGTTTTGAATGAAGATAAGGAGCGAGTCCCAGGAAATTCTCACTCTATCTCTTTTTAAATACAATTGATTGTATTGTATTAAAAGTTTACACAACAGATTGTATTATAAAAGTTTACACAGCATTTGATGATTTCTATAAAAACTTCAGTGACATTATTACAGTTTTCAGTTAGCATTCTCTTTAAGTGCACCCTACTTGTTCTGTTCCTGGTACTGTGTTCTTCATGATTCCCCAGTATTCCCCAGGCTTTTTTAAAACCGTGTTTTCATTGTTTGGGTGTAATGCTGATGTAAGCATGTTGTAGAGACAAATTCTAAGTCTTTTAGGTGTAGCCCCTTACCCAACTAAGTGTCATTTCCTGACCTTTGTCTTCCATCCAAAGTGTAGGCGTCATTGTTAAATTATAATGACAGAGATCTACCACGTACCTGATTTCAGTGCCAAGTAAAATGAGGTAAAGGAAAACTTAATGAATTTGGAGTAATTTATCCCTGTATGGCAGATGCAATCTAAGCAAACTAATCTATTAGGAAAGTTCTGTTTCTAGCTAAGTGATTAAACAGAACTAAAATACTGTTCTGTTTTATGGTTAGTTTTTCCTTTGGTCATTCCCTAAAGAATGAGGTGATAAATAAATTATTATAGGAAAATCATTTTGCTGCAATAATGTTTATCTGATTTTGTTTTTTTATGGTAACTAGGAACTTAAAAACTGGTCAACTCCTGAAAAAGATGCACATGGGTGATTCCTACCAGGCCTCAGTCTGTCACAAGGCCTATGCTGAAATGGTAAGTGGAAGAGGACCACTGGGCCCCTCTGAGTGGGAGCAGTCCCGTGGTAAGACATCATCAGCTGCTAGAAAAGAACATCTTAGGTGGTAGACTGGAGGGTCAGTGAAAACAAGAGCAACTCACTGAGATGGCTCGACGGAGGAGCTGAAACAGTGGTTTCAAGCATACCAACCATTATGAAGGTGGTATTTGTGGTTATGCATAAAATTGCCACCGGTTAAAACCAACTTGGCAACACTTAAATTTGACATCTGAACAAATTTAAGATAGCTGTCTAGGAGTCAGGAATAACTACTTGAATGCTACCTTTGAAATTATGGGTAGAGGCTCTAGTACTGGGCTGTAGTTGGTAGTAGACGCTCCTTTTGTCAAGCCCCAGTGGTAACCCTCAAGCTCTGAGGGCAAAGATTGCATCTTTCCTTGGTTTAGCAGGATAAGTACAATTGAACTCAAAAGTTGTGTGATCTTAGGTTACATAATCTTGAGTTTAACTCTTTCATCCCTCGAAGGAGTAAACTAATCACTAGAATTATTAAATGTCCCTATTATGTATGAGCACTTTTAAAAAAAGTCATTTTATTGGGGGCTCTTACAGGTCTTATAACATTCCACACATCAGTTGTATCAAGCATATTTGTACATATTGCCATCATTATTTTCAAAACATTTTTTACTTGAGTCCTTGGTATAAGCTCCTCTCCCCCCACCTTGTAAATCCTTGATCAAATATATATTGTTATTATTATTTTGTATTTTACACTGTACATTACATTTCTGTTATTTTTCCTGTGTGTGTGGGGGGGGGGCGCTATTTATCCCCATCTTGCTTTATACCTTTTTAATTAAAATTTTAATACCTCTTTAAAATGAAAAAAAAAAAAGTTAATCACAAATAGGTACGACAGTAAGCAAAAGTCCTTCATGAAGCCAGTCTCCAGAATCAGTAGTTATCATGTAGACCGGAGATCAGCAACCTTTTTCGGTAAAGGGCCAGCTAGTAGTTTTGGCTTTGCGGGTCATACAGTTTCTGTGGTAGGTGCTCAGCACCTCCCCTCAAGCCCAAGCACAGCTACAGACTACAGACACTCAATTTTAATTCCATGTCATTTTCACATGGCATAAAATGGTCTTCCTCTGCCTTTTATTCCACCAATTAAAAAGTACTAAAACCATTCTTGGAGAATAGTTCATACAAGAACAGGCATTTGGCCCTGTTTAGCCTCTGAGTTATAGTTTGTCAAGTCCTAGTTTTGACAGGAGCCCTGCTAGCATCGTGGTTAAAGTGTTTGGCTGCTAACAAAAAGGTTGACGGTTCAAGTCCACCAGCCACCTTGGCTGCACTGGAGAAAAATGTGGCTGCTATTATAAAGATGGCCCAGCTTTGGAAACCCCAGGGGACAGTTCTCTGTCTCACAGGGTGACTGAGTCAGAATAGACTGGACGGCAGTGAGTACTTTTACTTTTATAGGTGAACTGACATTTAACATTTTAAATCCCTTTTTCCAGTTGCAAAAGTAATTCATCGTCATCATAAAATTTCAATCATTCACCAAATGTACAAAGTACAAAAATGAATGTTACTAATCCGAAGTAGCCTTATGATGGAGTCCATGGGTAGTATAGATGAATAATGCACCCTGGTGCTAACTGAAAGGTTGGAGGTATTAATGGACCCAGAGGTACCTCTGAAGAAAGGCAATCCACTTTTGATAAATCAGCCATGCAAAGCTTTCTACTCAGATACACATGGAGTCACCATAAGTAGGACCAACTTAGCAGGCAATATAGTTTGATTGACTCCGTATAAAAGATAACTACTGTTAGCATTTGTGAGGGGGGTTGCATACACACACACACACACACATAATTTCTACTCATTGATATTTTTATTAGAAAATGTGGTTTTAAAGCTGGGAGAGATCTTTAATACATATCCCCACAAAAACAACCATAGACATGGTATCCTTTTTTTGGCCACTCATTTTTACTAGACAAGAATCCTGGTGGCAGATATGACAAAATACCAATTTATAAACTATCAAGGGCTCATGTGGGAGGGGGGAGCGGGGAGGGAGGGGAAAAATGAGGACCTAATGTCGGGGGTTTAAATGGAGAGAAAATGTTTTGAGAAATGATGTACAAATACGCTTTACACAATTGATGTGTGTATGGATTGGGATAACAGTTGTATGAGCCCCTAATAAAATGTTTAAAAAAAAAAAAAAAGAGTCCTGGTGGCATGGTGTGTTAAGTGTTAGGCTGATAACTGCAGAGTCAGCAGTTCAAACCCAGCAGCTGCTTGGCAGAAGAAAGATGAGACTCTGCTCCTGGAAGGATTGGGTCGCTTAGAGTTAGACTTGTCTAGAAAAAAATTCATAAATGAGTATTTGTAATTTAAAGCACTCTACATATTATGAGGGTAAGTAAAGTATTGCTACAAAATTGTGGAACCCTTTATTAAACAAAAATACCTTGAATTGCTGAATTGTATGATATGTGAATTATATGCCAATAAAACTGTTGGAAAGTAATAATAATATATATGTAAGTAAGTGTGACGCCGGACATAGCCTCCGCTAGTCCCATGCACCTCTAAAGGTGGTGTTTCCATCTCTAAGTCCTACCTATTGTTTGTGTTTCAGTGCTATTTTTCTAAATGGCAGTTTTAGCATCCTCAAGGGAACCAAATCTTCTTCCTTTTAAATGTTCTTTGGGCTTGGGGGAACAATCAGAGGGAGCAAGATCAGGGCTGTCGGGTGATGGGGTAAGGTTTTCCAGTGAAATGATTATAAACCGGCCTTTGCTGCCCTTTGATGAATGAGCAGGTGCCTTGTTGTGTTTGAAAAACTCTCAGCCCAACTTCCTTTGCCCACTTTTCTCCGCTGGCATTTTTCTTACAACTTCAAAGTTCCCATGAGTGTTCCAAGTCCTGTAAGAAAATCTGTCGAGACTACTCCTTTGGAATACCACACAGTAATTGCCATAACCTAATCTGACCTCCACCTTGACTTTAGCTGGCCCAGCAGGTCCCTCCCAAAACTACTGTTTTGATTGGACACTTTTGTAAGGCAAAATCATGAGACTAAGACAGTGTATTAGTGGGCGAACTTGTCTGCAGCCATCCACCAAAGGTTGAGGTCTGTTTAACATGTTTTGTTTGGAATAAAGCCATGTGTGTATGAATTGAAACCCCAATCGCAATACTTGATGACTTAGCCTCATAGGCTCTTTCCCTACATCACTTTCAGTAAATGGATGGTATGACATGTGGTGTAGCTGTTTTAGCTAAATTCGTGTCCTATTTGAGTGGCTGGGACACATTGGAACCGTATAGTAGAGAATCCAGGGGTCCATCCAGCTCAGTGACAATTTCAACAGAATTAAATTCTGGACATTTTAGAGCATTTTAGGCAACCATTCTGGGAATACTTTGGTATCTGCCAATCCTTCCTTTTCTCAACATTTGCTTTATGATTTTTTTTTTAAATCATTTTATTGGGGGCTCGTACAACTCATCACTTTTCTTTTAAAAAAAACATTTTATTAGGGACTCATACAATTGTTATCGCAATCCATACACACATCAATTGTGTAAAGCGCATTTGTACATCATTCTCAAAACATTTTCTCTCCACTTAGACCCCCGGCATTAGGTCCTCATACTTTATGATTTCTTGGTTAATGCATTTTTCCTCCTCAATCAGGGCCTCCTGTTTGTTGTTCTGAGTCACCCTTGTGCCAACGAGAGTGAGCGCCTGGGAAGCCCTGTGTTCCAGCTGATCGTGATTAACCCCAAGACGACTCTGAGTGTGCGTGTGATGCTCTACTGTCTTCCTCGGGGGCAGGCGGACAGGCAAGTGGGTGCGACTGCCAGTCAGTGAGTTGAAACCGTTTGAAAGGCACTTGTGCAAATATAAAAACAAAACCAGATCATTTTGTGTCACTTAGGTAGATGGAAAACATGGGATACGACAGATCACAGTAAGAATGTTAATCAATAGAATGAAGTTTAGTGGATTTGCGAGTCAGTCTCCTTCTTCGCTGCATCTTGATTCTGACCAGCACAGACTAGATAGACATTTTTTTTTTTTTTTTTCTAGATAGACATTTTGTGTGTATTCACCCCTATGTTTTTTCCGTCAGGGAAGCATTTTTTAAAAATCATTTTATCACAATCCATCCATCCACCCATGTGTCAAGCACATTTGTACACTTGTTGCCATCATCATTTTCCAAACATTTTCCTTCTACTTGAGCCCTTGGTGTCAGTTTCTCATTTTTCCCCTCCCTCCCTCATAAACCCTTGATAATTAAAAATTATTACTATTTTTTCATGTCTTATACACTGAACGATGTCTCCCTTCACCCACTTTTCTGTTGTCCACCACCCTGGGAGGGGACAGGGAAACATTTTTTAAATACAGAGTAATGTTTTATATAAAACCTTCATGTATGTTCTTCCTGTAATTTATATTAACATAATAAAGTTTTAAGTACTTTAGGAAAATATCTTTACTTTGAAAACTGACTTATGAACAAGCCGAGTCTCAATCGTCTTAGCAATTGATAATTTTCTGTTGATAAATATTTATCTACTTAATTATTCCTATATGATAAGATATGGTATATCTTATTAATAACCCAGTAATTAACATTCTAAGAGTTTTTTCAGCTGTAAAAACCTTCGAAGTAGCACCGGCATTGTTCGGCCAGCCAACAATGTCTAAGCATGTAATTCCTCAAGACTGCCTTTATTCACAGTTGAATGAAATTAGCAGTTGAAAATCACCATTTCTTTCTTTCTGCTCTTGGCCTGGGAGGTTGCTGTCCACATGGGCAAGTTCGTGTAAACCAAGAAGGTGGTGCTGGTCCAGGCCAGACACTGCACTGTATGCCAGGCTATCATCAGGAAGAGCACTGATGGTGGCACCTCAGATCACCCTTACTGCCATGCTCTGGGGGTTAAAAATGTGACAGCTGCCACGGGCAAGAAGAAAATTGTCAAGAGGTCAAAGATTAAGCCTTTGGTGAAGGTTTTTAGCTATTATCACTTCATGCCCACAACAAACTCCATGACAAAACTGTCATCCACAGGATGTCTTCAGAGACCCTGCTCTTAAATACAAGACCTGGCAGGAGGTCAAGGTCAAATTTGAGGAAAAGTACAAGACAAGCAAAACCAAGTGGTTCTTCCAGAAGTTTTGGTTTTGGATCTCACTTGATTCAGTCACTAAAAATTCACCCACCCAGCCCTTATCCTGGCCTTCCAGCAAAAAGGGTTGAAAATAGTCTAAGTCAAAATCATGATGTTTAGCTTGAATAACTCAAGGATAAGGAGTCTGGATAGGCACGGTGCATATTTCCTTGGATAATACACAAAGCTTGCTTGGCCAGTGCATGTTCTAAAAGGTATTCTCTCTCCCAGTGCACCCGACCAGCTGTAGCATTCCCTAAGATGTTCCCAGTGTAACAGGAGCCTCAAAACCCTCATGTGGAGCATGTTTACTTGCAAAATTTGCTTTCTTGAACATGGAGGAGAGAACCATAATCATTGATCTAGACAATGAAGATAAAAATAAGTACTCATTCAAGATTTTCCGTGTTATTTTTCAAACCTTTTCTCCTGCTCGATGCCCACTCTATACGAAGCATTACTGTTCCCATCCTCATGAAAGTGAGCAGCTAGTGATTACTGTTCAGTATAGAGAGTGCCACGAGGAGGACTTACACTGTGTGGGAGCAAAAAGGGTGGCTGAGCACCTTGACTGGCAGTGGGGCATTGGAGGAGATTGTCAAGGAAAGCTTTGTGAAATTTCTGAGAATGACGTGGGTTGTTAGCTACACAACCGTGAGTGGGGACCATGGATTGAAAACATCATTCAGTTCACTCGAGAATATTCCTCAAAAGCTGAGGCTCCAATGATACAACCGTTAGAAATAATAGCTCATTTTAATTGAGCAGGTGCTGTGCTAAGCCCTTTAGAGGAACCATTTCATGAAACCTCACAACTATCATCTGTGGAGTTACTAACTTGCCCTTGGTCATGCAACTCTTAGATTGAAAAGTTAGAACTCAAACTCAGATAGTTGAATACAGAGCCCTGGCTCCTAAAAATTGTGACCAGATCACTGCTTCGAAGATGCTTACATTTTTGTGGGGCAAGTAGATAAACCACCAGATGTGTAAGTAGTTAATCTCACCTACCTGTGAAGATAAAATCAGGTAAGGTTATAGAGAGGGGACCCAATGTGTTGGCTACTTCAGTTAAGTGAATAGGCATGACCTTTCTGTGGAGGCAATGGCCTGGTGATGTATTTGGCTGTATCTGAATGGTCAGCAGTTCGAAACCACCAGCAGCTCTGCAGGAGAAAGACTGGGCTTCCAATTCCCCAAACCAGTTACAGTCTCGGAAACCCACAGGGGTTGCTATGTGTCAGCATTGACTCCATGGCAGTGGGTTTAATTTGAATTTTTTTAAGGAGGTAAATAGCCTCTTTCTATGGGCTGGAGAGAGAGAACCTTCCAGACACCAGGAACAGTAAAAGGGGAGACCCCGAGAAAAGAGGGAGGCTGATTAGTTTGAATACTAGAGGGAAGGACAGCGTGAACTAAAGCAGGGAGATGGGTGGGGTCCAGATGAATACAGCTCTGTTCTGTCTGCAGCAGGCCAGCCACCAGTGTTCGAACCAGGCTTTCAGGTTTACAAGTGTTTTTGTCTCTGGTGAGTTCACTTTTGTTGTATTTTAAAGAGAAGTCTGTTTGCTTTGATACGTGATTTCAATGGTCTCTTCTCTGCTTGATGTTAGGTTCCTGGAAGGTGAAGTGAAAGGTAATTTTGCAGCAGCAGTACTGACTTCTGGAACCATTGCCGTTTGGGACTTACTTCTGGGTCGCTGCACTGCACTTCTGCCACCTGTCTCTGACCAAAACTGGTCTTTTGTTAAGTGGTCAGATACAGATTCTCATTTGCTGGCTGGACAGAAAGATGGAACTATATTTGTATACCGTTACTAAAAACATTTGGACAAGAGAGGAGAGCCACTTTCTGGATATCTTAGGCCTCTTTATACCTTTTTGGAGTTGTAACTTTAAAGGAGTGGCATTTAAAGTAATTTCACTCATTCCGACAGACCTGCTTTTTCTGCTGGTGGTGGCACTGTTGCTCTTGAATCATCACTCACACTAACTTTGGATGGAGGGATTATAAGCTGCTGTTTTTGTGGTAATTTTGCACATTTGCCCTTCCAGATGTACATACAATAGGATTATGCTCCAAATGCTAATAAATATTTATTTTGAGACATTCTGCTTGGCACATCTTTTCAGAGAGTAGTTTTTAAAATTAGCTGATTTGTTTTTAACAGTCTCACTGCCACACAATTCCCATAGGTATCTCAAGAGTTGAGTCACATTCACAGGAGTTGTACAACCAGCGCCACAGTCAATTCTAGGACACTTCTTCCATATACTCATTAGCTCTCCAGTTGCCACCAGCCTCCTCTGCCATGTCCCAGTAATCTCTTAATCCAGTTGTCTCTATAAAGTTACTTAATCTTGGGTTCATATATATGAAAATATACAAAATGAAAACAAAATACAGATGCTCACACATAAGAGTTCTTTGTATTGATGTATATTTGTTAAAATTTGAGAACCAATACTGATGTGTTATTATGAAAATCCATTTAAATTTGCTTCATATCTTTTCATGATTATAGCTTTTCATTGTTGATGAGTCCTTTATGGTATAGATACATCACAGTGTGTTCATCTGTTTGCCTACTGAAAGGCACCTGGCACTTGGGAATAAAGCTGCTGTAAGCATTTGTATGCAGATTTTTGGGTGGACAGGAGTTTCCAACTCATTTGGGTAAAAAGAACCTACCAACTCTTCCAAAGTGGATGGACTATTTTGCATTTCCACCAGCAATGAACAAGAGTTCTTATTATTGCAGGATATTAACCAGCTATAGGCACAATTATAAGGCAATAATATATAAATATTATAGTAAAGTCATAGAAGATAGGAGAGGTAGGAGAGAAGATAAAGGAATCAGACACATTTCATGGTAGCATGCTCACCTCAGCCTCTCTTGGTGGTCACATGGAGGGGGAGAAGAGAGGAGGGGGTGGGGGTGGGGAGCGTGTATTTCCAATCAAGGCTCATGTATACTTAAGGGCATGCAAACCCCTCTGATTACAGGTAACCACATATGTCACAGGAAGGCATTGTGCCATAGGCAATACAAGCAATGGGAGTGGGATGATCAATGGGTGTATACGCAATAGGAAGGGTAGGGACTAGGGGTACACGTGACAAGGTGAGCAGATCAAGATGGCAATCTAACCTTGGTCATCCTTGAGTTGACTCAACCTTGTCTCTGGGCCGTTTTTTTGTTTTTTTTTAATCATTTTATTGGGGACTCATACAACTCATCACAATCCATACATACATCAATTTTATAAAGTTTATTTGTGCATTCGTTGCCCTCATCATTCTTAAAACATTTGCTCTTGGCATCAGCTCCTCATTTTACTCCCCGCTCCCCCCTCCCTCATGAACCCTTTATAATTTATAAATTATTATTCTGTCATGGGCTGCTGGGGACAATGGGTTACTTCTCCCTGAGGCTTGCAACCATTAGCTTGATTCCTGTAGGTGGGGTTTACACCCTACTGATAATGGTTCTTAGGAGATCCAGAGAACAGATCAAACCGGTAGGGGACATCCTAAATTAAGCTGCCATCCTGACTCTGGGATCCGCCCATCTTGTCACATGTATACCCCCAATGCCTCCTCTTCCTGTTGCCTGTGTGTCTCTGGATTGTTCCCCTCTCGTTGCTGTATGACCTATGGTGCAACCCCTTCCTCTGACATATGTCTTTACCTGTAATTAATGGGCTTGCACGCCCCCCAAAAGTATATAGGCCTGGGTTAGCAATAGAGATCTTGCTCTCTAGGCTTCTCCCTTGACCCCTCTTTGGCTTCCCCTCTCCTCTCCTGTCCTGGATCCCCTGTTCCCTTTCCCCTTGCTCTCCTTCGCTTACCCCTTGTGTTAGACAGGGTTCTCTAGAGAGAGAAAACCAAATTGCTGATAATTTAATATATTTATTTATAAAGATAATTAGATATATAACAAGGAATGAACTGTTAAATCATATACAGTTAAATATATAATACAAGAAAGAAACAGTTAAATTATAAAGCACTACAAATGGCTCAATTCAACTCACTGCCGTGAGAGAGATGTGAGAGACTAGCAGTCCTTCCAGTCCAATCTGCTGCCAGATCTTCCTCTATTTATAGAGAGAGCTAGGCTATGTCAGCACAGCAGCCAATCAGGAGGCAGGTCACCAACTGCCAGCCAGGTCACCAACTGCCAGTCCCCAGCTCCAGCGATGTCTTAAAGGGACCTCAACTTACAGCGACACAGTCCACAGGCTAGGCGTCCCACAGGTAGTGTAGCCTTTAAATTGAAGCACAGGACCAGCAAGGCAGCTGCACACTGGTCCGATGATCAAAGAGCGAGAGACAAGAAAGACGAGACTCGCCAAGCCATTTATCTCTCTGCCCTTCAGTTAATCCCACTTGTGTTTATCGGCCAGGCTGGCACAATAAACTATTTCACCCCTCTCTCCACTTGGACCACCTTGCGGAGCTCAGGTGAGCAATACTACCATAAAATGTGTCTGAGTCCATTATTTCAATACCTCTTCCATCTCTCATGCTCTTGATGACTTTAATATTTATATATCTCAACCGTACAATTGTGTCTATCGAACCCATGATTAGTGGTGGGGGGCTGGCAACCCCCTTCAACCACACCCAGTCATTTGGTGGGAGTTAGTAAAGACAAAGGCTAGAAGGGCCATATTGAATAATTCATTGCACTGCAGTTAGCCATCGGGGTCTTTCTCAGCATTCCTTTGGATGTATCAAAGGTCTGTCCTCATATGCGTAGTGTGACCAGGCAAGAGGAATCAGAGGTTGGTGTATCCTTGATGACCTAAGCAGATTTTATAGGTCCTGATCCCAGTAATTGCAATAATTGTTTTGATGCCAGTTTTCTGCAGAAGTGGAAGACTGTCTTTCAGAATAGAAGTTGGGCATTTACAGGTACTAGTAACTAGGTTCTGACATAAGTCAAATCCTCATTTTGCTTTAGTTTTCATTTCTGCTCTTTATTATCAGTTATCTTTATAAAGATACCTTTATATAAAGATATATATTATACAAAGATATATATAAAGGTCTACCTGGATATCAAGATACTCAACCTTTGTCTTTGGGGGTTAGAAACACTACATATAAATACATATATTTTATTCCATATATAAAAATACTGATGGATGATAAAGGAGAATTGGATGGTGTTGACATTTTGTCAAGTGTGGTCCAAATTCTACTTGTGGAAGCTTTGGGATTGTGCCTGTTAGTGGGTGTGTAGCCCGGGTAGACTAGAGAAACAAATTCACAGCTTTCATACTCATTGTGTTAGGAACACCTTGACCTGCCCTCATCAGACCTTGAAAGCTAGCTCCAAAGGGCTCCAGGACAACTGCCATCTCCTCGATATCAAGGGGATGATCAAGACACCACCCTACCTTGGAATTTCATGGATGGAGAGTCTTAAGCAGCTGCAGCTCCTGCCCCCTCCCTTCTTGTTTATGATCCTGACCAGCTTTATAACTTGCTGTTTACCACAGATAATCGTGACTTCACTGGCCCCACTCTCAGGCCTGTGAATCTCGCCCGGGAGCGTAGAACAAGCTTCTATTTCTCCTTCTCTTGGCCTGGCCTCAGTTTATCTTTGTGGCAAGCCTAATACTCATGTGTATAAGAAAGAGCTTTATATACAAGAGCAGTTGAATATTGAGAAAACATCCCAGTGCAGTCCAGATTAAGGTTGCAGCTTGATGACCTCAGTTGGAGGCGCTAAGGAGATAAAAGCTTGCTGGAGGCGAGACGCGTGCACACTCCCTGTAAGACATTTCTGTTGAGAAGACACATGGAGCTATGCTAGAGCCCTGGAGCTGGAGGAGCCACGTGGATACCCCTGCCAGTGCTGAGATGCTTCCACTCCCACGCCACTGGATCCAGAAGAGTTCCCCCCACCCCTTGGCCTGTGATCTTCCGGCATTCAGCATCATTGCATGTGTTTCGTGAATCGGAAGAGGACTTTATAGATTGGTATCAGACATATGGGCTAATATCGGGTTCATGGACTTGATCTGGTCTGGGCTGCGATGTTTTCTTAATGTACAATTGCTTTTTGATATAAAGTTCTCTCTTACACAGCCCTGTCATACATTCGCAACAACCCTACTCCCCTGGGGCTAGTTCATGAACTTGAGACCAGTCAACCCATTCTCATTTCCTCTAGTTCCTGTAAACCAGGTCCATGGGTGTCAGTGGCCAGACTCAACCTGTCTCTTTATTGCTGCATTTCTCTCACTTCCCCTCAATAAGTAGATCCAGGTGGTCACACCTAGCAAGCATTTCAGCTTGCCCACAAGTTCCCTTTAACAGTGTTTGATTTTTTTTTTGCACTTTCTCTTTATTTATTTTTAAGCTTATTGTGAGCTAGGTACACATGGGTCTTTTTCCCTTCACATATGTTTGCAGTAACATCACATTGCCTCCTGAACCTTCATATCAACCTTGGCAAAAGGAGTTGAGTTTGGCTTCAAGCAACTAAAGCCCCTGATCTAGTTTAAAAACAATCCACTGCATCCTTTCACTAAGGAACCCTGGTGGTGTAGTGGATTACCTGTTGGGCTGCTGACCACAAGTTGAAAATCACCAACCATTCTGTGGGGGAAAGATGGGACTTTCTGCTCCCATGAAAACTTACAGTCTCAGAAATGTACAGGGCTGCTCAACTCTGCTTATCGGGTCTCTAGGAGAATGGACTTGTTGGCAGTGAGTAGTCATCCCACTGTAAAATTTAGTTTGCTGCTTCTCTCTTTCCTCCCCTCACGCTTTCTTTTTAGCATGTCTTAGCTCTTCAAAATAATATTAAGTCCTGGTCTGCCAATTCCCCTTCTTGATCTTTGAACTAGACCACTTTTGCAATGATCAAGTTCTAAATTCAGTGCCCTTGCCCTCTAGTCAATCCTCTCACCAATCTCTTCCAGCATATTATCCTAGAGTGTGTTCAGCAATTTTCCCAATGTCCCTTGCATGCATTTTCCCACAGCTTCCCTCCAGGAAGATGCAAAGGGTACAGATACAATAAGGTGGTTGTGGATACAGATTTCTCCCAAGTTGTCTCCCCAAAATATATGCCAGACCCAAGATGCTGCTTGCTACACATGGTAAATGACTGTACACTAGGAGGTCAACAAAAGTAGGTCAGAGGTTATTCTCCCTAAGGGTTATCAGCTATCAAGAGCAATCAGACTGTATAGTCTGACCCACCTAAGTAGGGTCCACTCCCTTCTGATAAGGAGAGTGATTGTTCCCTTGAAGGAGAGCCCTAAGACAATGTCCGGACCACTCAAGGATGAGTAAGGTTAGGCTACTCTATTGAGTCTACGGTCCGCCCATCTTGGCAGATATGTACCCTTATTCCCTCCTTTTACTATTGGGTATACACCCCTAGGTCATCCCCATTCTATTGCTTGTATTGCCTATGTTACAACCCCTTCCTATGATGTAGGCCGTTATCTGTAATCAGGGGGCTTACATGTCCCCAAAGGTATATAAGCTTTGGTTAGAAATAAAACCTCATGCTCTCTCTCCTGCCCTCTTGTATCCCATCTCCATGTGTTCCACAAAGAGGAGCTGAGGTGAGCATGCTACCATGAAATGTGTCTGACTTCTTTATGTTACTCTCCTATTCTCTAAGACTGTAATCTTTATATATCTCAACCCTACAGTTGCGCTTATGGAATCTGTGATTAGTTGTGAGGGGCTGCCCCCCCCCCCAGGTGGTTAAGTGTAGTTCCTTGCAACGTGCGGGGACTGTTGCTATTTGTTGATCTTTCCAAAGGGGATTCAATTTCTCTTCCGATTGCTAGTAACCAGTGAAGTGGTGGTAAGGGAGTGAGGATGTAGAAAAGCCTGGTGGCTGATAGGAACAAGTTGGCAGATTTCATCTTCCCTGTGTCCCCATTTTTGCTAGCTTCCTGGGGCTGCAATCTGCCAGGTCAACAGTTCACAATCAACAGTCACTGCGGGAGAAAGACAGGGCTGTCTACTCTCATAGTCAAAGTCTCAGAAACTCACAGGAATAGTTACACCCTGTCCCATAGGGTCACCATGTTGAGTCCACATCAACTTGATTGGTTTATAATTTAATCAAGTTTTAAACACACACATTGTTTTACATAACTTCCTCATTATTAGTTTCAGTTATATGTTTAAATCGATTCCTGCTTTTCACCTATTTTTATTTTCACACTTATTTTGTATTGTTGTTTTGCGTTTTCTACTTTTTTAAGTTTTTAACCTATGAAATAAATACCTACGTTAGAATGTGGCATCAAAACTTTTAAATAAATGTTTTAGAATGTTCAGAGATCAAATAATTTCCTCTCATATTTTTTGTCAGTGTATAGGAAACATAGTATCTGCAGTGCTCAGCATGCCATGCGCTGCCAAACCTAATGGCCACGTGACTTGGCCCGGATGATGCAGTGCTGCCAGGATCCTCCAGTCCGCCAGGGGCCGCCAGCGCCCCACAGCACCACTGTGTGTTGCCTGCGCCGGAAGAGCGGGGAAACCACAGGCCCTGAGGCTGCGGCGCAGTGCATCCTGGGTTGGTGTAGCCATGGCGGCTCGTGTCCTTTCCACCTGTGTCCGCCGCCTCCCCGCGGCCTTCGCACCGCTGCCTCGGGCCACCGCTCTGGCCGTGGCCCGGCCACTCAGCACTGCTCTGTTCCCTTCAGGGATCCGGACGAGTCCCAGGGCTCCGCAGTCGGTCTCAGTGCTCGTGCAGGTGAACTCGCGGTGACTTTGCTGGCTCCGGCGGGGTCAGGGATCGGGCATGCCCGGGGATGAGGCGGAGAAGGCTGATGTGGGACCGGAGCCAGTCAGGCTTTGGGGCGACGAGCTGGGCCTAGCCTGGTCTGCACAGGAGGGCTGAGGAGTCCCAGGCCGGGCAGCGAGACCGTCGGTCGCCTGCGACTTGACCCCGGGGACATTTTGGCTCGCTTCCCGACCCTGCTGTGCTTTAAAGTTAGGTTATCTAGTAGTTACGAGCAAAAACTCAAATCTCTCGAATCAGACTCGCGAATGCTGGCCGTCATTTACTGAAACTGTACGGGTCTCTCTGGAGCCTCAGTCTGTGTCACTGGTCGACTTTATGGAAGCGCAATGAGGTTTAGGTAAGATAAGTGCTGTGCTGTGCTGGAGAAACTCGCTGTATTAGCCCCCGTTATCTAGTGTGATAACGATGTAAACGTTCTAGGCAAGGCTTATAGGCGGCCACAGCCGTCTCCGGAGTAGTGGTCTCCCCAGGTCTCTGTCTTAAATTTCTCCAGTGACATCTTTTGCTTAATTCCGGAACTAATGGACGTTTAGGGTGAGAAGTAATAGCGAGGCTTTCTCCTCCCGTCAAGAAAGGGAAACCCATGAGCAGTTCTACTCTGTTCTGTAGGACTGTTTTAAGTCAAAGTCGACTCAGTGGTAGTGAGTTTGGTTTATTTGGGGGGGGGGCGCGATAATTTTATTTTAGTTAACACTGTTGTGAGCGGTGAAAATTGAGTAAGGCAGTGATTGTCAATCTTAGCGCTTATTCAAATCACCTGGGTAACTTTAAATCCCTGTATCCCCATCTCCAATTCTGATTCTGGCTTCTGAGGTGTGTACCTGGCATGGGTTTTATTTTTTGGAGTTTCCCACGTGATTCTGAAGTGCAGCTAAGATAGAGAATGAATAGGATAGCATCTCCCAAGGTGAAGATGAGAAACGGTTTCAAACTCATGGACTTAAGGCAGCACAGTGGTTTCAAGTTTGACTAAATGTTCGAATTTTTTAAATAAAAGTGTCTAAACCAATTCAATCAGTATCACTCGAGCTGAGGCCTGGTCATCTAGTTTTAAAAATCCTCAAGTGCTTGTGTGCAGCCAGTGTTGAGCTTCCCAACTGGTGTGACGGATTAGTTCAGAGTATTGTGCTGTTGGCTGAATCAAAAAGTTAACCTTCACCTTAAAGCTAAAGAAAGGCTGACTGGGTAGTAGGTAGGGTCGCTGAATGTTTTGTTCCTGCTTGTTATTTATTTCAACATTGGGGCTGAAAAGCAAAGTGGCTGTTCCGATTCTTAAAGCAGTGATTTTCAAAGTTTTTTTTTTAATTAAAAGATCATTTTATTGGGGGCTCTTTTTTTTAAAATTATAAATGTTTATGTATAGTTTATAGTTTATTTTACACAGTTTATATACAATCTATTTATATAGCGATCTTATATAAATGTTATACTGTATAAATATTGATATGACTATAATTCAGTTATAATTATATATAATATAATATGCATTTGTAAAATTGAAATCCTTAAATCCCCTAAACATATTTTCTTTTTTCCCCCTTTTATTTATTTTTTTATTTTTTATTTTTTTAACATTTTATTAGGGGCTCATACAACTGTTATCCCAATCCATACACACATCAATTGTGTAAAGCGCATTTGTACATCCTTTCTCTTATTGGGGGCTCTTAACAGCTCTTACAACAATCCATATATCATTTGTATCAAGCATATTTGTACATGTGTTGTCATTATAACTTTCTAGACATTTACTTTTTATTGAGCCTTTGGCACCAGCTCCTTTTTTCCCCCTCCCTCATCCTCCTGACCCCTTGATAAATTATAAATAGTTATTTTCATATCTTACACCAACCGCTGTTGCCCTTCTCCCATGGTTTCTGTTGTTGTCCCCGTGAGGTGGGGGGACGAACTTCTCTGTGCATACAGATCATTTGGGTTGAAATGCAGACTCGGATTCAGTAGGCCTGGGAAGGGGTGTGAAAGGGTTGATTTCTACCAGGTTTGAAGAGCCCTGTTGTCCTGAAACTACGCTTGTTGAGTAGCAAACTACGCTTTGGGTTGACTTGAATATGCTCCATTACGTCTGCTTCGTAAAGCAGAAAAACTGTTACTTACATTTATGAAGCGGGTTTGACTAAGTGTTCCCATAGCCACCTCACTTAACATCCTTGTGGATTGAGGTGGAGAATAAATACTTAGTCAAAAGATCCCGAGGGACAGCTATGTGTCGGACCTGAGGCTCGTTTCTATACTGACATGAATGTGAAAGACCTTTATTCGTGTCTTCGTTGGACTCTGTAGCCCTTGTGTGAAATTTGCCATAGTCTTGGCTGGTGCTATGTGTGGGACCTGTTGTGACACTGTTCTCCCATGATTTTCTTAGCTTTGGGCCTACCCCATTTCTAACACATAATATCATTGTGCTCCTGAGTTCTCGTTGCACACAATGTCTTCTAACCGCCCCTTCCCCTGTGAGTGTCTGGTGGCAGTCCCCCCAAATAAGCCATCATTAGCCTTCATCTGGACTAGGGCTTGTCATGCCCCTCCCCTAAGGCTGCAGGATTTTCTTCTCAAATCCATCTGTGCAACTACTTATTCATTTATGTATACCCCATGAAACCTAAGGTATCATTCTTCCATACAAAAATACAAGGTCATATAAATTAGAAGACAGTAAGAAAAATGAAAAACAGGCATATGACCTGAAATGGACCCTGAAAGTCTTCTACTTGGTCTAAACAAACAACAACTGAAAATCCAACTCAACTGCCATCAAATCAAATCTAACTCATAGTAACCTGTAGGGAAAGGTAGAACTGCCTCTGTGGGTTTCTGAGACTAGAAAGCCTCATCCTTCTCCTGAGGAGCAGCTGGTGGTTTTGAACTGCTGACCTTAGGGTTAGCCACCTAACACACAATCCACTATGCCACCAAGTTACCTTTTACTAGGTCTAGGCGAGCCATAATTCAAATTTGCTAGCAGCCAGAAGCACAAAGAAAAGTTCCAAATAGCTCTGTGCGGCACGGTTCTCAGATGAAGGTAAACCACTTGTACAGGAAAAGCTTGGCAATTCTTTGTATTGGAGCCAGACAGATGTCTGTAGGAGTGGAACCGGCTGAGATCCCTCATGAACAACTGTGTCGACCCCCACACACTCCGCTCTTATGCCACCTCTCCTTTTGCTGGCCTGCCTTTCCTGCCCCTTAAATAATCTGGCCCCGTGCTTGGCCTCGTATCTCCCCTTCCCTTCTTCACAAAGATTGGACTACAACTGGTTATTGAAGCAGCCAAAAAACACCTTGGTGGTGGTGTCTTGCTATATTTTATTAAGGTTAAAATCTGTTTGGGTCGATTTTTTTCCTTTATACATGTAAACAGCTCTTAGGTAGAGGCCATATCTCACTCATGTTTGTATGTCCAGCAATTGGAGGAGTGAAATCTCTTAATATGGCTCTTCTATCCATGTCTCTGTAACTCCCAACGAATGATTGGGTGGGACTAGGCAAATAGAGGGGATGTGTCGGTTTTCATTGCCTCTTCCCTGGCTGTAAGGATGAGCTGTCAGCAGGGAGAGAGAGAAATCCCAGGACCATCAGAAGAGGAGTCCTCAGTGTGACAAATTCAAGATCTCTGTCTGAAGTGGCCGAGACCAGAGGCTGAGACAAGTAGACCATGAGACAAAAGAGAAGCACAGCACAGAATATGAGACTGAGGCAGGCAGTGCAGGAGGCTGGTCGCCTGGCCTACAGAAGCAGAGGCCAAAGTACCATGTTGCTGAGATGCTGAGGACCAGAGAGAACTTAGTTGCTGACTGAGGAGAGGTGGTGTTTTGAACCAGTGACTGTCATTAGTGTTTTCTGATCTTGGCGTGTAATGACCCATTGACTTCCATAATAAACTTCCCTTAATCGTGAGTATAACCTGTGAGTTCTGTGTGGCCGTTACAAATAACTACCCAGCCCGGCAGAGTAGAGTGCTATGCTGGTGTCAGAACAGGTAAAGGATAGAGGCTGGAAGCATGTCTGACGTCTGCTTTGTGGCAGGAGGGAAGCCAGAGGAGGTCAGATGTGGCCCCACACTGTTTTCTGGTAGAAAGGTAATGCTTGACACAGAGGTAAAGCTTGCAGGTAGTCACCATTTTAATAAATACAGGTAAGACATTGAAACATGTGAAAACAAATACACTGTAAAAGCAACAAGAGGCGGCCTAACTAACCTTCTAGGGAGCCTGATATTTAAGACAGTAGAACGAGTCTGGCCCTTGTCTTCCCTGTGGTTGACCCTGGGGTGTTTTTGGAAGGGAGAGCGTGGTTGAGGCAGGAAGACAAGTGTGATGGTGCTGGCTATATGTCATTGAGGAAGGGGAATGTTCTCCTGTAGACCACAGATAAGGAATATTCAGCACCTGTTTGTTGTAGAAGTAAATGAGAATTCTCCCAATGAGCCAGGCTGAGGGATTTAGGTGAGTGGGGATGGGAGAGAATGGGGAGTGTCGGGGTTGGTTGGGAGGTGCTAGTAGTGTGGGCAGAGAAGAGGGAACAAAGTTCTGCAGGCAGGAATTTTGGAGACAGGTGAGGAGTTCCTTCCCAAACAGATGAGCTGTATTGCCCCAAACAGATGGGAAAACTAAGAGCCCAGAAGCGGAGGGCATCACCCAAGGAAAGGACCAGGACAAGTACTTGGGGCTGCTTTCCAGCCAGCTGGCAAACTGGCATGCGTCCTCATGATTCAGTGTGTGTGTGTGGGGGGGGGCTCCAACTCATGGCGACCTCGTGTAGCAGAAGGACAAAATGCCTTGTTTTTATGACCCTCTGGTGGCATGCATGGTGCTAATGAACTACAAGATCAGCAGTTTGAAACCACCTCGGGAGAAAGAAGAGGGTTTCTACTCCTGTAATGAGTTCTAGTCTTGGAAACATGCCGGGACAGTTCCTCCCTCTAGAGTCGC